GGAAAGTTTCTTAAGTTTTCTTCTTTCAGATAGAGGTTCAAGTTGGGATTCTTGATAAAGTGATTGTTTACTAGAAAAAGAGGGTAGGCCAGTAATAATTCTTGCTGCTTCAAGCTGAACTTGTTCAAGTTTAGTTAGATCTGCCAGAGAACAACCATCCCAAACTTCACAGGCATATTCCAACACAGGCAACACAAATACTTTATATATTCTTAACAAAGTTTTCCTACTCAACAGTAATTTAAACTTTCGTAGTACTGATACCTTTTTCATGCATGTTTTTTGAATTTCGGAAATATGTAAAGACCATTTTGCATCTGCACTAAATATTACGCCTAAATGTTTATGACTTTCAACACAATTCAGAGTCTCAGTACCAAAACAAATCTGTAAAGGAAGTATATTTCGCGAATTAGATATAAATAACACATCAGTTTTCTGTTGATTAAATTTAGTAAGCCAATCCCGTGACCATTTGTCAAGTTTTTCCAAATCTCTGTTTACACACATTTCAATATCAGCATGAGAAGACGAAGAATACATCAAAGAGGTATCATCAGCAAATAAGCGTGAAATACTATTTAAATTATCAACAATATCATTAATATAAACCAAAAATAACAGAGGATCTAACACACTTCTTTGTGGTACACCAGCATTTGTGTAACCTATATTAGAATACACACCTTTAACAAGAACCTGCTGTCTTTAGCCGAGGCAGAGACGTATTATACGTCTCTGGCCGAGGGGATTATTGGTTTTATATAATAGCTATATTTTCAATTATAGTATATCAATTATATCTTCTTGTAATATGATGTATATGTACATGTAACTGTTCTGTTTCATTGTGTCTAGAAAAAGGAGCGGATCGCTCCGAAAATTTGACAACCTAAACTTGTCCACATGTGCTGTTGGAATTACTTCTTTGCCCCATATATTAAATAATAATATATACGTCTCTGGTTTACCGATTTTTTTCAGATCCTTCACGACAATTTTTTTCCATATACCTTCACGACAAAATTATTCACAACCCATTTATATTTGAATTTCATATTTATCAAAAAGGAAATATGCGAAAATTGCTGTAATGCTTTTTCGATCGCAGGTGCTTTTTACACGAATCCCCAATAGATGGCGCCACGGGTGTGACGTCATCCGACCTGCGCAGGACTTCATTGTGGCGGGAAACACTCGTGGAGTTTGACAGAAAACGCGAAGTCTCAGCTGGGACAGCGAGCTATGGTTGACAGCGTTAAATGTTGTCAAATATTATTACTGGTAAAGTGTTATAAGCGGATGATATATTTAATTTCATGAAAAGTCTGTGACATTTCCGCGCCATTGGCAAACTTGGCAGCTCGCGCAATCGAAAGGGGAAAATCTGAAACCACATGTTCAGTAGCCAAACACAATTAAGTTGTCACATTGTCATCCTTTCTTTGCAATTACAAACAAGTAGTTTTATTGAAGATTTTTAAAGAAGGTTTTAATATACAAGGAGATAATGGATGACTGGGGAGATGGACCATCCACTGAAGTAAGTAGTTATTTGACAATTGGTCAACGGTCACCGGACTTGACCTGGTTCGGCCAGCAAAGTTACTGGACCGAAACAAAAACAAACACAATATACTATCGAGAACGTGTTTTATATTGCGAAAGTTGTGTGGTGTGTCTAAATGGTTGTGATATTCTTGCTATGACTCTTTGTAAAGAATATATCTATGAAAACTAGAAACTGCAAATGTTCAGCTATTTGCAATGGGCCGATAATGCGAATTCCGATTCCTTGTATACACGTGTAAACAGAGGTCGACTTTTGTAATGGCTAAGCAGTGGCGGATCCAGAAGTTTTTTTGGGGCTTAAGGAACCCCACCCCCACATGAGAATTTTCTTTAAAAATCATACATTTTCCTCAATTTTCCCCCCACATGGAACCCCCCCTGGAAATTTGGAAACCACCCAGATGGGTCACTGGATCCGCCACTGCTAAGAGTATTTCATTCAGTGATGGATGTGGGGGAACTAGACTGTCGATCATCGGCTCAATGGGTAGAGTCGTGGACTGGAGGTTGCTGGTCCTCGCCAACCCTTGTTTCAAGCGCTAGGTGCACGCTTTGCAAGAGGAAGAGCTTCAATTTAGAGTATGTAGTGTTCAAGCCCCCCGATTGGCTATATTTTTCTCGGTTATGATGTTAATTTGTACCAATATAAAAAAGGCATTGCCAGACCCAGTATTAATAAACTCTACTAGACTGATGTTCTACCAATTGGCTACCTGGTCGGTGGCGGACGTAATCCAGTTGGAAACCGGGACCCTCAGAACTCTTGGACAGAGGCTCTACCAATTGAGTTCTCTGGTCGCCGACGACCGACCCTGTCCTGTTACGCTAAAAATAATGGGACAATAAATCATTTACATAGAAAAAAAACCCCTTCATCATCCTCCCCTCCCCAATATTACTTATCGAATGATATTGTGATAAAATTACTTTTACAAGCTAGATGATTATTGTTAAGTGTCTTACACTGTTCAATATTTCATCTGTAAATTTATCATGTTAGTATATCCCTCCTACGGGTAATAATCTTTCAATTTAGTAAGTTGCTGTATACAGAAAAAAAACAGCAAAAAAATGTGCTCAACCATCCCAACCTACCCTCGATTTTTCTGCCGGCCCCAGAAACTTTATTAAATGCTTAAATTTAAAGATAAAATTTATTAGCCAGGCAAAGTAAAATGTACTTTCTTCCTGTTCTGGAAGTCTGACCTTTTTCTTGACAAATTAATAATTCCTGTAACTTTTGGAAACATATTGTAAAATATTTGATATAAAGCATAACATTGACCCTTAATAAAAAATTGAAATAAAATGATTTGCCTATTGACCTAGTCTAATTTTTAAGGCATTAGAAAACGTTACTTGAAACGTTTTTTTTGTCTTCTAAACAAGCGTCATTCTTTCTGTAAATACTACAGGCTGTGTGCAAAAACTTCAGTATATTAAATTTTCTGACCAGCTGAATGCTTTTCTAATGAATTTTCATTTTCTTGGCACAGCCCCTTGTCACTTGAAGCTTGCGTGGCTGTATATATGTTATCATATTTAGGTTTTTTTTTAAGTAAATGTTCCTTTTGCAAACTTTTTAATAGCTTTTTCCGTTTTGGTGCCTCAAATGTTTTGATGTAGTAGGACAGATTTCTGATGTGGGTTTGAAATTTTGAATATTAAATCACCTGCAGAGTTCCAATTCAGTACTATGATACTGAAAATTGATAATCAGCTAAAATATTGATCCTAGGAATAGAAAATGATTCACTATGACTTGGGAGCAGACAGCATGGTAAGCAGTACATTTTGTGTAATTGGAGTTGCTTCCCTTGATATGGGAATTTTGTGTCCTCTCCAATGAGCTAAAAATAGCTGCATGTTGATAAAGAGTCTCCAGGCATACCGTCATTTCCTCTTGTTACTCAGTAGAAGATGGCTGCCAAAAGGGTAGGTGTGCTCTGTAAAATGTGGATTTGTTTATTGTTAGTGGCTTGTCTTGGAATATTTTAGTAAAATGTAAGCTTGTCATTATTCATACAATCTTTCTTTTGTAGGGTAGAGGAAGAGGATTTGGCAAAGGAGGGTATGTAGACATATACTCATCTGGTGTAGATTTGGGAATGTTACTTTAGGGTGAAAATGTTTTTAACTAAAATGAATTTAAAATTGCACAATATTGACATAAATTATTTTGGCTCTAACAATTGTTGGTAGACTTGTATAGTAAATGATCAATTAGAAAAAATCTGGTTTTTAGACACTACAAAATAGGTTTACCCAACAGGAAATGGTGCGATTTAATTATTGTGAAAATATATAGGAAGATTTTTTAAGAAGACTTGTTGAAATTGTTATTTTCAATGAGATCTGATTTGTTTTAGGTATAGATTTGTGTAGTATATTTTCAAATACAATTAAAATAAATAGTCATTTTGAAGCCTTAATTAATTGTAAGGCAAAACTAGTTAGCCAAAAAATCCTGTTGTGATAAATGATCCTTTGCATTTGACATTCATCTTATGAATGGTTTAAATTTATAATTGTATATCTTCTGAATATTTTAATGAGGCTTTTACATCCGGGCAATGACAAAGGTCATTTGTAGACTTTTTGTGAATTAAGTCTTTGTTTCAACCAAATCAGGATACTTTTTTTTTAATTTACAGATTTGGTGATGGTGGATCTACAGGTATGGGTGATAAATATCAATTTAAAATAGACAAAATACCTTTCAATAAATAAATACACTGTTAGAATGATCAGTATCCAGTTAAAATAGTTTAATCCAAAAGACTAAATAATCATTATCTATCTAGAATTTAGGGCTTATTCTAATACAATATCAAATTACTTAAATGAACTTACAAATGTAAAAACAATACTTATGTTTTTCCAAATATTGCCTTCATGTAGAAAAATGATGATATTTTTTACTGTTTATAACAATTTGCCAAAAATGATGCCTACATTCATGCGAGTGGTGACATTCATGATCGTGACACAAGGAAGATGATTTTGGTGATATTGAAACATTAAAGGAAGTTTATACAAGTACTTGATATGTGTGTTTATACCATGTTCCCAAAAAAACTGAAATACAGAAATTTGTGTGTTACAACTTTCATGTTACTGAAAATAAATATCTACTGTCGGCTATTCACTTGCATGAAAGATATTTGATAAAAGACCTGATATAGCAATTGTGATAATCAATGAGGTTTTTCGCTGGTATCTTAGGCATGACAAAAGGTCTAGGAAGAGGAGTATTGCGGGCTGGCTTCACCGCTGAAGTGAATGGTACCACAAATGGAGACAGTGGTTTGTCTGGAGGGTTCTCAAACATGTCGGTCTCCAAATCAAGCTTTGGAGGTGGGGAAAGCAAGGGAGGATTCAGAAGCAAAAGCAGTGGGGGAGGTGGCGGCAGTGGTGGAGGTGGAGGATTTGGTTCCAAAACACAGAATGGAAGGGGTTAGTTCAGCATACTTTTGACAATAGTCTAAATGTAGGAAAATTATTGTCTGAAGTACAGTGTGGTCTATAAATTTTCAATGATTGAAGATACCAAATAAAAGTTCGTTAGGATTTTACATGCATCATCCACAAAAGTATATAGTGCACTTTATTGGGGTCACCATGACTTCACCTCTAGGTAAAAGGTGAGATAAGTGCAGATCAAGTATGCATAGTGGTTTAGTAAGCAGAGACTTGTCGAAACAATTCAAGTTAAAATCATGATTTTTGTGTAAACAAATATGGTCATTCTTGTGTTCTATTTTGGCTTGACACGTTGCAGGTGGTTTTGGAGGTGGAGAGTCCAATGGAATGACCAATGGAGGAGGTGGTGGTTTTGGTCGGGGAGGAGGTGGATTCGGCAAAGGAAGCGGTGATGGAGGTGGTAAGTATTTGATATTTGTTCTATTGATGATACAAAGTTAAAGTACTTGCATTGATGTATTGGCCAAGTATCAAATTAAAGCATAAAAATAATGATGGATCCTATATATTGGAAACGGTATGTCTCATGCGAGGACAGTATTGCTTTGGATCTAACATTGTTTTTTTTGTACCCGATATTTTGTTCTTGATGTAAAGAGCCTAGCTAATGGTTAGGTAAATTAAAGATTTTTCAAGAAACTTGATAAATCCTCCGCATTAAAACCATTTTGGTCTCTGTGGAGTATATATAACATATAGATCCTTATTCTAAATTCAAACTGAACTATTAGATGAAGTGAAAAAAATACTAGGTTCTTGTTGTGTTTCAGGTTTTGGATCAGATCGCCCACCACGGTATGTAACACTTTTTCAGTTTTGTGTTATAATATTATTGTGGAATGAAATTTTAACGTGTAGAATAAAAGTAATAATATCAAGAATCCTTCACAGGTGTTTACCCTTTATGGGTTCGACATCCATATTGGGTATGGACTCATTTTATGCTTATAATTCTTTTCAAACTCCTTTAGTAATTGTTCTGTTTTTATTATTATGTAAAAATATTGTATGATGATGTATTGAAATATGAATTATTTTGTTATCTTCAATTATTTGTTGCATTTTCAGGGGAGGAGGTTTTGGAGGTGAGTTGCTGCTCTGCTGTACTATATATCTTGTGTACAATTCTCGCTTGTAGATAATTATTGCATCTATAAAACGTCATCGTTATCAGTCTGATTATATATATATCCTCAACTCTGTTTCTCTATAAAACACTTCTATGTGAAGGTCTGAGACTGTATCAAAAATCATTATTGTGGTGACTAATATCCAGATAATTTTGTCGTTGAAGAAGTAGTGGCCAATTTGATATATATAACAGCATGGCCCAAGAATGTTGTCAAAAGTTTGTACCCATGTATACACTATATCATAAAAATATAATCATTACTGATATATGTAACCACCGTTTGTTGTACTAACGCTTGACTCGTTTAAAAATAATGCCTGTGATGCTAGCTAGCACTGGTATGGCAGTTTTGTGTGAACACCGATATTAGCCCTTGCTTGTAACCACTGCTTTTGATGTTAGCTTCTTTATCTTCAGGTGGGGGAGGTAGTAGTAGTGGCTGCCACAAGTGTGGTGAGGATGGCCACTTTGCAAGGGAGTGTCCGACTGGCGGTAATTGCTTTTTATCAAAATTGTTCATCACACTGAAGTTCAGGCCATACCACTAATATTCTAAAGCTACCAACCTTGGAATAGCATTTCGATAGTGGGATATTACCTTGCAGTCTTTGTAGTATAATACTGGAAAGTGTATACTGTGACTTGCTTTGCAGCTTTGGTATTATAATACTGTATACTGAAACATAGCCTTGCATTCATGTCAATACGAAAGCTTTGTTTTCGCAGCTTCTTTGCACTGGTGCAGAATTTTATAGATTCACACTGTTGAACTTTCTGTAAGTGAGGTTGTCGAAAGTACTATATTGCATTCAGATTTCAAAAGCATCAATATCTTTGTTGCCAAAAATTGACTAGTTCACAGCTTTGAAATTAATAGGTCTCGACAACTAATTTTTGTTTGCAGTTGTGTTGAAATAATTTTTATTTTCATCTGAAAATCATATAGAACAATACTGCATGGGTATATGTGTAAAATAAGGTAAAGCTTATACAAGTATACTCTGAAATTTTTGCTGTTGTTAAATTTACTTTGGGAGGATATGGATTTTACCAGTAAAGTCAAATATTTGACTTGGTCAACTTTCTCGGGTATACAGTATTGATACACGACTCCAAATTATAATATATTATATTTGAGCAATGATATTATGACATGCAGGTTAGTAATGCATTAAAATGGATATGAGTACAGTATTTTTAAGCTATTTCTGGATTTTTTGTTCAGCTTCTAAATTGCATTCTGATGGGTTGTGTTAAGCTAACCAGTAACGCAGATTCTGTGTGGCATTTGTAGACAACCATTACCTACTCCAACAATGTTAGAGGTTTTACATGGCAAAAAACTTTTGACAGGCGCCGCGTAACCTCTTAACTGCCCATAGCTGATTTTTCTGATGCTGACGATCACATTTTCAAAGTTCGGATTAAGAAAGAGTATAGCATGTTTACATACATTTAAAGGGTCCAATAAATATTCCTTTCCATAAATCCATGATTATATATGAGAAAATTTTCGTGTCTGACATAAATAATGAGTTTTTCCTCATTCGAAGCGAAGCAGACAGCATTTGCCATGATTTTTCCGGTTAATACAAAAATGGATTGCATGCAAAATCATATCCGATAGAAAAAAGGCCGACCAGCGGCCTCTCATGTTATGGGAGTACACCATTACCAAGAAAAATTACATTTTCCCTCTTCCTAATAATGAAACTTTTAACATATCCTTTGTAACTTATTTTTTAAAAACTGAATGCTTTTACTAAATTTTGAAGTCTGAAATTCATTTGAAGATGGGAAGGGGATAGTGTGGTTGCCAAAATTTTGTAAGGAAGGGAAGGGAAAGAGCAACAGGAATAACCCTTCAAAGAAAATAAAGAAAATTCACTTTATGTTCATAAAGTTGGACTGTTTATTTTTCAAAATACAACATTATATATATAACATGGGAACATTTAACCCTTTATTTTCAAATCAATCTCCTGTTTCAAAACTTGGTGAGAACACTGATTAAGGATTAAGAAAACGTTTTTGAAGTTTAAAACAACAACGAAAAAAATGGCTTTGTTTCTGTGTAGACTTGAATATTGCAAGTACCTTTTCTAAAATGTTTGGCAGGAGAACCAGTGTTTTTTGTGTATTTCGTGTTTGCCCTGCTATTTACCATACTACATTTATTGTAGGTGGAGGACGTGGTGGTGGAGGTGGTGGAAAATGTCACAAGTGTGGTGAAGAAGGCCACTTCGCAAGAGAATGTCCAACTGGAGGTATCTTTTTTGACTATTTTTAACCTGTCCAAAATGTTTTGTATCCAGTCTCCACAGCAGGCAAACTTTTGTTCCCAGAAGCTTCATTTGATACAATTGGAATTGTGATATACTACAAAAGATCCTTCCCTTTATCTGTTCTTCTCGAGTCATACTATATAGCTACTAAACATTGCTAGAAGATAACATGTTATTGAGAGGTAGTATTTACTGTATTTTTCATCTAAATTTTCTTTTTTTTGTGATGTGTCCCTAAAAACGAACACATCATTTATAAACCAACTGTTCAGGGAATTTGTTGGAAGTCTAGACTGAGGCATGAAATTTAAACCTGGTGAATTTGTTTCAATTAAAAAAAAAATTGTAAAGGTTAACTTTGTGAAATGAAACAACTATATGGAGTACCTAACCATTTCTATTAGATTGTCATCAAACCATTTCTCTGGAATGTTAACTAACTATAATGAGCCTACATTTGGCAAGTGTTCATATGTCTGTGTTTGTTATTAAAAGTTCTTCATAAGGTGGTTTGGACTTGATTGAGCATGTTTTCACACTGAATTAACCAGGGAACAAGCATGTGATGTGAATAAGATACAGTGTCGAACTTCTTTTCCAAGGTGGCGGCGGTGGTGGTGGAGATCGTTCTTGCTTCAAATGCGGAGAGCAGGGACACATGTCCAGAGAATGTCCTAAAGGTATTTCGAAAATTTGAAGAAGAAAAAAAGTTAATAATGAGTTTTCAGGCTAGTTTTTGGTTTTGGTATTGTTTTGAATTTTAGTTCAAAGATTATCGTCCAGTATTTTCATGTAGTAGTCGTAACATAATTATAATTGGGCCAACAAACTAATTCTTGAGATATTTTCACTCAATAAATTTGGTTTTAAGCAGGTTAGCATTCGTTTGACATAATGTGTACGTAGAAACGGTTTCAAACTTTTAGCATCACTTGTTTGATATAAGATAAACTAAGATTGGGATTGATGTTGGAAGACGAGAGTTGGTATGGTTGCTGTCCAACCAAGTTGTGCCCATCCTAATTCACTGTCAATACTCCCATGAATATGTTTTGATAAAGACTTATACATATACAAAGGTCAAGTACAAAAATACCTTGAATGAGTTCATGCTTTGTTACTGTTCAAAGATATTTGTAATAAATGACACTAGTTAATTGAAAGAAGTTTTGGCATGGGTAGCTTTGCTAATGACAAGATTCTTTCCAAAATTTTAACCAGGGAACAAGCATATGATGTGAATGAGATATGTTATATTTACATTCCAAGGTGGTGGTGGCGGCGGCGGCGGTGGAGATCGTTCTTGCTTCAAATGTGGAGAACAGGGACACATGTCCAGGGAATGTCCATCAGGCAAGTTTATGTGCATAACCTTTCGGTTCTTGTATATTCCATATTTTATTTGTAGTTTCAAGTTTCAACCCAGACAGATTGGTGAAGGTTGAACATTTTGAAATGAAATTATTGGAGTTGTCTTGCCCTGGCATTGCCACTGTACAAATACACTATATGATGATTTCAATGTCGGAGTATCTTTTAGATGAACACATAAATATGAGTATTTAACTGCATTCAGTCCATAGTCTGTAATACAATCTAAGGTAGCAGTAACCTTAACTGTAAAAAAAATGGTTCTATATCCTTGTGGAATGTTGCATGAATGAACCTCTCAAACTTGTTCACAAGGGTACCGGTAGATTATTCACAACAGGATTTTCATTAGTATACAATGAAAATGTTTTGTTTGGTTAATATCTATTCTGCAGGAATGTTCACAATTTCTAGTATTTTTATCTGCAGGTGGTGGTGGAGGTGGAAGTGGTGACCGTGGATGCTTCAAGTGTGGAGAACAAGGCCACTTCTCCAGAGAATGTCCCAATGCAGAAAAATCCGGAATCCAACTTGGTAAGAAAGCCATGCTTTCATATGGTAGACAATGACCGACAAATGCAAGGACATGATTGACATTGCTATTGTAAAAGAGCAAAAAAAAAATATTGATATTAACTGAAGGAGCTGATTTGATGAAGATTCTACAGGGCATACATTGATGCTCTGAAGCTCCTTATACCCTTTAAAGTTTAAATTTGGAAAGGGGACACTGTTTTGTATTTGTTTCCAAAAAACATTCCAATATATCTTTTTTTAACCACCTTTTTAGCTTGCAGGTATTATTAAAACTCTCGTTTCACCAAAGCATTGATATGGTGCTCTGTGAACCATAAGACTTGTTTACGCTGCATGACATTGGCAGTAATGATGAAAGAGTTACCCGAGACCTCCTTGCCCATTTATCCTGTACCAACTCTGCGTTTACTCGAAACTATTTCATATTTTTTTCAGATCCAGACCGCCCTGCACCATACATCCCTCCAGCACCCTCTGAGGATGAAACAGAAATATTTGGAGGTATCTTGAAGGGTATTAACTTTGATAAATATGAGAAGATTCCAGTGGAGGTCACAGGTCGAGGAGCACCAGCCTCTATCAAAAGTTTTGAAGAGGCTGGTATATACGAGGGTTTCATGAAAAATCTTGTGAAGGCACATTTTGAGAAACCAACGCCTGTGCAGAAGTATTCCATCCCCATAGTGATGTCGGGAAGGGATCTAATGGCCTGTGCCCAGACAGGGTCTGGCAAGACGGTAAGGAACAGAAGACTGCATGATCCTAGTGCCAAGTTTCGGGTTTTCTTTCTCAATTTTGACAAGGTCCACATTCCTTTTGAATTTGAAAATTTTGCTTTGTAATTGGAGAACATGTGATGATCAAAGAAGTAATAATTAATTAGAACCTTCAGAGGCCCAACCACCCATCAAATGTTTGAACTGTTTAAGCATAAGGAATTGTAGACATTATCAATTTAACCCCACCTATTATGTCATATTAACTTGGGTGTCCCACACTTCCCCCCAATGCAATCAACCATTAAAGGACATGGGAGATGCATTGAAATCTGAAATAAATATATCAAAAACCATCAACAGGAAAAGCTAAAAGGTTTCCTTGGTAAGCCGAGTCGACCGCCTGTTTCAAGCTTTTAAAACAAAGTATTTCCATGTTTAATTTTTAGGCTGCTTTCCTGCTCCCTGTCCTGACTGGAATGATGAAGAATGGTCTGACTGGAAGTGCATTTTCTGAAATTCAGGAGCCACAGGCACTTGTAGTGGCTCCTACCAGGGAACTGGCCTTGCAAATATTTAATGATGCACGCAAATTTTCACATGGTACTATGCTGCGTTCAGTTGTGCTGTATGGAGGAACATCGGTTGGATATCAGCTCAAACAAGTGGAGAATGGTGCTCACATTGTTGTTGGCACACCAGGGAGGTTGATCGATGTCATCAACAAAGGAAAGGTGGGTGTTGACTCTTTTGTTACACTGCTCTTAAATTGACTGGACACTTTTTGCATTCTATATTTGGCTTTGTGTACCAGCTTTTCATAGATAAGAGAAAAGAAAGAACAGATCAAACTTGCATTTTATAGTGGGCGCCAAAATCCCTCTGGGATCTCTGGTTAAGTATCGCAATGAAGTTAGGTGTTGACACCATTGTTAACTAACTTCAATGGCTCTTACACTGTAGTTCAGAGGGTACTGCAAGCGTCTTTTTCAACTGGAATGGAATACGATGTTTCTTTTTGATCTTGTTTAACTGGTACAAGTTAGATATAAAGTTGCAATAAACCGATAATGTATAGATAATAATTTCATTGGTACTGAAATGACCACCTTATGTTGATCAAGCCTTGTGCAAGTAATTCCGGACAATACATGTTTTGCTTGGTAACCATCATGCCATTTTTTTCAACAGATAAGTCTGGCAAAACTCAAGTACCTTATTCTGGATGAAGCAGACAGAATGTTGGACATGGGATTTGGACCAGACATCAAGAAAATTGTTCATGAACTTGGTACTCCAGATAAAACAGAGAGACAGACACTTATGTTCAGTGCCACATTTCCTGAGGAAATCCAGAAATTGGCTGGCGAATTTCTCAATGACTATTTGTTTTTAACTGTGGGTCGTGTTGGAGGAGCTTGTTCAGATGTAACACAAAACTTTTTCCAGGTGGATAGGCAACAAAAGAGACAGAAATTGTGTGATATACTGTCAGAATCTGGTAAGAATACCTGCTAGTATTAAATTGTTTTTTGAAGAATCCAATAGAAGTTTTACAAATGGAAAAAACTACTTTTATACTCGATACAGGGAAATTTTGTCTCAGTTCTACTTTTGAATTTCCACCCTTTGCACTGAATTCAAATTTATTGTAACAGCGAACAGTAGAAAGCAACAAGCAATATAGGATTAAAATGTGATTGGCAAAATAAACACTGGGCGAGCACACGATGAGGCCTTGGCTGACCTGTCGGTATTCTAGTTAAGACTTCTTAATATAAATGACAGTGCAGAACTATTGAGATGTCAGAAAAAAATATCCTCAAGAAAATTTTGTTTTTAAATATTAGGTGCAGATAAAACTCTAGTGTTTGTGGAACAAAAACGGAATGCAGATTTCTTGGCATCATACCTGTCGGAGTCCGGTTTCCCCACAACTAGCATACATGGGTAAGTGTTCGGTCGGAGGAAAATATAGTTTAACATTTTTATCAATATTGCTTTCACGGCAAATTAAAAAATCAATGGACTTCAAATCAATTGTCCTATTTTGATCTTCATCTTGCATAGATTTCGTCTCATTGCAATTTTTGATTTCTGTGCAGGGATCGTCTCCAAAGAGAAAGAGAAGAAGCTTTACGAGATTTCAAACAGGGCAAGGCTCCCATCTTGATAGCCACATCAGTAGCAGCACGTGGCTTGGACATTCCCAATGTGAAACATGTTATTAACTATGACCTACCTCAGTCGATTGACGAGTATGTACACAGGATAGGCAGGACTGGGCGTTGTGGCAATCTGGGCAAAGCTACCAGCTTCTTCTCTGAAGATGGTGACGGCAGTCTTGCCAAACCACTCCTGCGAATCTTGGTAGACGTAAGTTTCCTCTATGAATATATTAGGAAAATTGCTAGTCCAGACAGCTATAAATAATAGGTGTTGGCCAATTATAAAATGTTAAATACTTGGTTTTTGTCTCCCCGCCACGATGAGGAAGCGAGACTAAGGTGTTGCAGCGGTGGAGTCGACATTAAATTTTTGCGTTTAAGTTAGTTTCACTGAAAGTACAAGTGCTAGACCAACCAAACTTGGACCATATAGTTGCATCTTGGGTAGTACATCTCAACCCATGCACCAAATGCTGGATGAGGCCTACCTTTCATGGTCCATTGACTTTATCAGCATCAGCTTGTATTGGGCCAAAACCGGAAAATTTTGTCTAGAAACAAGATTATGAAATAAGGGTTTATTGATTTTAAAGGCCCAATGAGGGGAAATTTTGTAAAAGAAAAGTGTTTTTTCATGCCTTGATCAGAAGTTTACTGCATTGCCTTTGTATTCTGATAAAAAAATCTAAATTTCATTTGGTTTCTAATGCATTAAATTTGCTTAATATGAAATTTTGACAGGCTCAACAAAATGTCCCGGATTGGCTGGAAGCCTCCGGGCAAAGCAGCATGTCTTCTGGATCATATTCTGGAGGTGGTCGATTTGGAGGTAGAGACATCAGAAAGGACCAGGAAAGGGTAAGTGTTGTAATGTGATTATTTTGAAAGATTGCAGAAAAAGATCAATAATTTTCAATTTTATTTCATTTATTTTTTAATGGGAAAAGTTCATTGTATGTTGAGTAATGACTTAAGAACGATAGTTTATTTGGTGTTGTAGACGCGAGAACACGCAGGAGATGGTCAGAACTCGTACTCTGGATACGGCAGTGGATTTGGTGGTCAGGCTGCCAAAGTGGGTGGTGGTGACGACGATGAAGAGGATTGGGACTGAACCTGCCATGGGTAGACATAACTTGCTTACACTAGCCCTGTCTCCAGCTGTATGGATGTACGTGGTCCAGTTGGGGGGCCACCATGTCGTGTGCTAATACTTGTGTGTTCTTTGATTGTGGAGACTTGATGGTGATCTAAGGAGAGGGACCTTTGTGTTTTAGAAGATACCAGGACAATCTTCTGACGCCTTGTAAACATTTGAACGAGCCATATTCATGTGGGAGAAAGGAGTCCCAGTGTTACATTTTTCATTGTTGAACTTTTTTTTCTATGTTAAAATTTGTTTCCAAGTGTTAAAACATTTAGAGTAGGTACCTATTAAGTTTTTTTGTAAGTCATGACAAGATGTACATTTCCTTTTCCTGTAGGTTAGTGTCTGGCCACCGATGGATAGTGAAGTTGCACATTTCTGTGGAAATAGAATTTGCAGTCCTGAGTTCTCCCAACTCGGTCCTTCATATTAAAATTGTTTTAGGGCTGGCTTGCAATCGGTGGATCTACTAGTGGAAATGAAATGCAGATCATTTTCAAATCCAGAATGTAGATTGAACCTTTGGTAGTGTTTTATGTGCAAACCTAGTGCTGGGAAAGATGTGGTACTTCATTGTTATAATCTGTACTCGTGGGAATGCACATCTGTATTCCTGGGGAGGATCTGAGCTATCTGGTTTTCAACTTGAGTGTTCAGCCTGTTTGCATCTGGACTGTCCTCATCTATTGCCAATGCATCAATTCCAGGGGGTTTGCAGAGGAATCATATTTGCAGACTTGCCAAAAACTGTATTTAAGTGAGCAAGTTTAAGCTACATTATTTGCATACGACAGGGTCAGGACGCATCATTTAAAGTTTTCAGCTGTTTATTCCAGAATTGATAATGTACTAAATTTATTTGATTCATTTATATTGTGTGTAGGAAATCATATGATTTGCAAATGTGTTCAGTTCAGCTGTCTTTTAATGCCTGATCTGCCATGTTCATTATGTTGCTGGATGGTATGTGAAATGTGGCTGGAACAGTATTACAAGTGAAAAGAAATCAGTTCTTTGAAGAAATCCCAAGTGGACTTCAGAACAACCTTAGCCATATTCTACAATGTTTATATGACCGAGTGTAACAAAAGATGGGCAGTTGTTTAAAAAAAAATTCCAGCTCGAGTCATTTTAATACTTAATATGTTAAGACAATCAGTAAGTTGCTGCTGCACTTGAACGGAGGGGTGCTCCACAAACTTGGGGTCACAGGAAAGGATTTGGTTGTGGCTATTTTGTGATAAACATGTGATGATTGATAGTTTAGTTCCAAGGGCATTATTGGTACTGTAATTATTATCTTATTTTTGTGTGTATCTGGTAAACATAAAGTTAAATTACGTTTATTTGTGGCAAAGTATAATATTCTGTAAATTGTGGCTTAGTTGACAAGATAATCTACCTGGTTTGCTAGGCGCCTAAATGTTCTTGGTACATTTGTAGTTGGTATATTGTAGAAATACTCAGGTTTTTTGGACCACTGTGGGGAGTTTTAAGAGTTTCTTAATTTAAATCCAAATTTTGTGCCACAGTAATACCTATGTTTATCACAAAGTTTGAGTTCACCCAAGTTCTAGGGTAAGGATCTGGAACAAAGGATTGAAAACTGGGCGTCGGTAGGTGACTGCTAGATATTGGTAACCTTGACGAATTTACCAATCTTGTGCTACCTTTCTGAAAAATCCTAGGGAAAAAGTGAAGGTTATGTCATGACTTTGTGATGGAGAAAAAACTTGTGGTGTTCATGGTATTAAAGGGAGCAACAAAAAACTGCATATTAGGCACTACATGTGTGGTGTTTGTGGCAAGGAGTTCAGTGAAATGAACTATAAAGGGGAACAACCAAATGTGATGTTAGTGCTAGGTGGTCTTACAGAGAACAGGATTTTGAAATTGTCTCTTACATAACATTTTAGCAGTCCTATAAATATTTTGTTCATATGTGCCAAAAAAGAACAGATTATGTTTGCTTCGATTGATGAACAAGACATGCACCAATCAAATGTCCTGGTAAATTGTCAAATGATTTAGTGCTGAAAGAAATTTCACCCTTTTATTCTGGCTGTAGTAAATAAACTGCATAGTGCTGTGATGTGTATGTTTTACCAGGATATTTTACTGTACATGTTTTGGGTAGGGTATTGTGTCTGGACTGAATGAAGTCTTGTTCTAACTGATTTTATTGGTGGCAATTTTCCAATTGTATCCCATTTTATGCCATGGTGCGTCGTCTGGCTGGTGTCAACTTTTTACTTTAAATGACTTCTCAATAACCAAGAGTGATAATATTAGGCCAGTAGCATGCTCAGATAAAAGGCTATGCAATTTGCTCTATTGAATGACCTTCAACTATATTCCAGGTCACAGAGGTCAAAAGTGTTAAAATTTCTGAAACATCTCCTCAGTTACCATAGGCATAGGGTGATATTTGTTTTAGAATAATGATGCTGACCCACTTTCAAGGTCACTGTGCTTAAAATTCTTTATATATTGGATCTTGGTCCACTTTTAAGGTTACAAGTGTGAGATGATTACCAGACGAGCGATGCAAGCCTGTTTTGTCTCTTGTCTCCAGATACAACAATTGAGTTTTGTAGGATAACTTTCACATTGTCTCAGAATTTAGCATCACATTAAATTGTCCAAACAAGTTTTTAACCATTTTATCCATGTTCTGTGATCACCTGCAAAACGAGTATGCTTCCATTGACAAATTTCATGTGGTTGTTGATTCTAGTCCCCTGCTGTTAGATTATTTCAAACTTCAGATGATGTTCACTTGCTGTTCTGGTCATACTGGATTGGTTTTACGCAGTGTAGTTGTGTTAACTTGTGTGAATGTTGTAAAGACAACTGTGATTAACTCTAAGCTACTCCACATGTTCATCTGATCATGCCTACTCCACAAATAGTGATATAGCATATTTTAGTTGAGTATCATTTTACATAATGTACAATAAATAATGATGTTGATACTTCAGAGTTTGTTGTTGATTAGTTTCCTTCCGTATTTTAACCTGCGACTAACTCAATGGACCTCTTATAATGCCTATCGTCCAAATCTCCCGTTGAGAGAAACCACAAAATCTTAAATAACCCAAAAAAGTAATTGCTGTGGGAATTTAATACAAACTGCCAGAATTATTTTTAGCTGTTCAGTTCTATGCAACATTTTTTTTGCATATGAGCAAAATGCAATGTGTAGAGAATTTTGATTTGTAAAATGAAAATGCAATCATACTCCAAAGTAAAGGGACTCCAAAATTTTAATTGCAGTCTTAGAAAATGGCAAGTGCTGGTACAATGTATTGGCTCAAATTTTATCTTGTTAAAATAAGTTGAAAATAGAACTTGCATCTTCATTATGAGTGACCAGTTGTTAAGTATTTAACTTTAATTTGATTTTATGATCCTTGCCTGTAAAGTCATTTGGTCGGTTTTGAAGATTAAATGCTGAAAGCTAGCTCCTGAACATTTTGACACAATTGTGTTTGAACATAATACATAAACATGAGAAAGTTCAGAATGACTTTTAGGAATATTAAAAAAAAAATCTCCATTAATGAAATGGTAAAATTTAATTTATTTTCAAGTCTTGCTGAACTTTGGTCAGGGTGGTTGTTCCAACAACTTAAAAAAACTTTTTAGCCCACCATCAACTGATGATGGGCTATTCAAATCGTCCGTCGTTAAACAATTCTTGTTATTGCTATTTCTCGGAAAGTACCAGAGGGTTCTTGCTCAAATTTTATATGTAGGTACCCCTTGGTCCCTAGTTGTGCATATTAACTTTTGAGACTGATCAAATAAACAAAATGGCCGACAGGCAGCCATCTTTGAATTTGACGGGGAAGGTTTGTTATGGCTATTTCTTGGGAAGTTTTAGAGGGATCTTTCCCAAATTTGTTATGTAGGCTCCCCATGGTGAGTTGTACCTGTTTAATTTTAAGAATGATCAGATGAACAAAATGGCCCGAAATGCAGCCATCTTGGATTTTGACAGTGAATGTTTGCTATTGCTATTTCACAGCAAGTACTGGAGAGATCTTTCTCAAATTTAACATGAAGGTTCCTCTTGGTCTGAAGTTGTGTTTGGTCAATTTTGAGGATGATCAGATAAACAAAATGGCCGACAGGCAGCCTTCTTGGTTTTTTATAGTGAAAGTTTGTTATCGCTATTTCTCGGAAAGTACCAGAGGGATCTTTCCCAAATTTTATATGTAGGTTCCCCTTGGTCTGTAGTTGTGCATGTTTAATTTTGAGACTGATAAGATAAACAAAATGGCTGACAGGCAGCCATCTCGAAGTTTGACAGTGAAGGTTTGTAATAGCTACTTCTTGATAAAGACTCGAGATTTTTCTCAAATTTGTCATGTAGATTCCCCTTGGTATGTAGTTGTGCATGTTTTCTTATGAGTGATCGGGTAAACTAATCTTTTGATTTTGACAGTTAAGGTTTGTTGGTGCTATTTGACGGTTAACTCATTCACCCCTGAAATTTCATTATGAACTTTTCCAACTTTTGAATTGAAAGAGTTCAAATGTGTCTTCAGGGGTGAATGAGTTAGGTTTGTTAGTGCTATTACCCACGACATACTAGAGGGTTCTTTCTCAAATTTTTATATGCAGGTTCCCCACTGTCCTTTTTTGTTCATGTTTACTTTTGAAACTGATCAGATAAACAAAACGGCCGATCGGGGGCCATTTTCGATTTTTGACATTGAAGGTTTGTTAGTGCTATTTCTCAGGAATAACTTGAGGGATCTTTTCCAAATTTGATATGCAAATTCTCCTTGATCCTTCGTTGTGCATGTTATATTTTGAGACTGATCATATCTTTTATACACAGCAGTATTCAGTTTAGATCAAAAGTTACCTCAAGTTGCATTTACTGTTAACATGACTCGATTAAACAGATGAGAGAAAAAATTGAACTGACAAAGAACTAATGAAGATGGTACAATGGTGGGCGCCAAGATCCCTCTGGGATCTCTTGTATTCCACTTTGTAATTTAAGGATGTCGTTTCATAAAATTAATCCACACAGAAGTAGACTAATGCTAATACAGGTACTTTTAGAAAACTATGGCAAGTCTTGTGAGGTCAACTTTCAGAGAAATGGAATATTGATCGAGGATTGATTTTGAACTTGACATCAGCATTATTACATTGAATAAGTTATTGTTAGGTCAACTTTCAGAGAAATGGAATATTTATTGATGATTGATTTTGAACTTGACATCAGCATTACATTGAATAAGTTATTGTTAGGTCAACTTTCAGAGAAATGGAATATTGATCGAAGGCTGATTTTGAACTTGACATCAGCATTACATTGAATAAGTTATTGTTAGGTCAACTTTCAGAGAAATGGAATATTGATCGAGGATTGATTTTGAACTTGACATCAGCATTACATTGAATAAGTTAACAACATTTTGGTACCATACACAGTATTTTTTAATCACAACATAAAATCTGGTGCAACAACATCAATCTTGTACATGGTGAGCGAACAATATGATAATACTGTTGAAGTGAGCTTGGCTGCAGGAGACACAGAAATCCTCCCAGAAGTTGTGTGTTTATTGAAAATTATATCTTCCTTTTTCCCAAATATTTACATTACACACTTGACAAACTTGTTGCCTAAAGATTTTCAAATATGTATTCCTATGCTGCAATATCCACAAACTTAACTGGTGGAAGGGATGATAAAATATGTATATCAATGCCACTGATTTAATTACCTGGTATTGGGAATACTAGACACCCGGAAACAATTGCCTTTCATTGCTGAAATTCATCTTGGCCAAATGTTCGTTTTTACCTTCGGAATTGTAGCAAACTAAACTGAATAATTTCTAATGAAGAAATAGACCTCGTGGAGAATACAAGTATAACTGCAGCATGTTTCTAGTATGCATGTATTTTCTCTTAATTGAAACATTAATATGCATGTATTTTCTATTAATTGAAACATTAATAAGCCTGTATTTAATTAGCATGGGTCCAATCAAACCCATCTAAAAAAGACTCAATTTGAGTAACCTGTAAATCAATAGTTATAGCTCTAGACAAGTAATCTCTATTCTAAGGCAAGCAAGACTAGTTGAGGGTGTCATAGAAAGTGCAATGTCCTTTTCTACCTTTTTTCATCGATACAATTCTGGGATTTGGTCATTTATCAAATACAGGGTGGAATATATATACATCGTAAGCTCCTGCTAAATTGGTGTAAAATGACTTAAATATTAAAATGTATATGAATAAAAATCTGAAAATTTAAAGGGTGCATCTTTAAAAAAAAGAATGTATACATGTTTATATAATACTATCACAGGTAATATGAAACAAAATCTTGCAATCAAACTTTATACAACAAATGTATGTACACGAAATTATTGTAGTAACGTTCTCGTATCGTTATAAATCATTCAATCTACACTAGTATCACAGATGATATTGCAGCAGCAATTCAAATTTAAATATATTACAGGTAGAAAACCAGCTATCAACACTACCCTCCAATTAAATGGCCAGCTGAGCTTTGCTAAATATGACCACCATATAAACATCCCTTATACAGATTCTTAAGCTTCCTTAAAAAAACACCTGGAATCATAAGCTACCCCAGGGTTCCGCCCGTTACACCTTCAAAGAGAAACACACGGGGACCCCGAGAGGGACTCCTGAAGTCTGTAGCATTACAAAATGTTCAAATACTGTTGATTGCATCCTTCCAATTAAACGGTACGAAACTTTTATATAAATCTCCATGCTGCAATACAATTTATTCACTTTATTAACTAGAGCACTAATGGGTCAGCAAGTTCCTGTAGGTAGATATTGTCCATATATCTGAACGTCAAATTAAATGTAGTTTGTAGTGACTGGTGGCCAATTTGGAATCGGCGATGTGGAATATTCATTTAGGATAGTCACTGAAATACATAATTTACCTCCCAAATCAATAGTGGTGAGTTGGAGAGGGCAATACAATTTATTGTTGACGGTATACTACCCATTCTTTTTTAGGCATCAGTGACCTTGACCTCGGGACTTGTTCAAACTCTTATTGCACATCTACATATAACTGTATCCTAAATTAAAATTTAGACATGGATTCCAAGATATTCTCTGGAAACAAAAAGTGTGGACGGATAGATAAACACTGATTATTATAAACTAGATCTCCAGTGTTTTAAATAATTGCCCCCTAAGAAGATTATTCTTTGCAAATTTAATCCTTTAAACTCACTTACCTATTTCACGTTCGGAAAAATACCAATAACCACATGTATTCCATGAGTTATAAATGTGAAAAAAGTACATCTGGGAAACAAGTGATATACATTTATTTCAATATTACAATGCATGAACGATTTAACACTACGGTGAAGTCAAATTGGCGGCAGAAATTGATGAATGATAATGAAATATACTGGGAAGTGATTTGTTTACATGATTTTGTGAGAAATATTGGCCAACACCATGGTATGCTAATTGAATTCTTCACTCGTCAGCAGTATTGCTTCGTATCATTTCAGTATTTTAGCCAGCAATTAACTTCTATTCCTTATAATCTGTAGGAAATAATATTTCCAGTTATTCATTGTGATTTTGAGAAGTCACTGATGTAACAACAGAATCGCACCTAGTAAATGTGTCTGCAGCTGACATCTAGTTTCTATCTCAAACCACAATGTAGGTTATAGGATACTCTATTATATAAAAATATTAAATAATATTGAAACTTTCTTTCACAAGTTTATACTTAAAAACTTTCCGTTATTTATACACACTGGTCAACCAATACATATAACTTATGTCTATTAAGTTGAAGATTCAAAATCTTTTGCAGTTTCACAGCGGAGACTAAATTAAGTTTCATCTATTACAGTAACTTCGAAACACTTTCTCGCTGTTAAACATTGAAATTTTACCAGTGCAAATTACATCAACACATTGGTAAATACAAAATTCTCTGTAATCTTTCTAACCAAACCTTGCAAGATTTCTCTGTGAGGGAATTCATGTTTTATTAACCTTTAAAAACCTTCACTTTGAGGTAACTATTCATGTACCAGCTTCATGGACACAAATGACCAAATTTATTTATGAAATTTTCATGATTTAACAAAACAATATGCACAAAAATACTCCATTTTCTAAAGACACATTCCTAACAATGTAATTTAAACTCTGATCTGAATGAGATAATAAAACTTGATACAAATTTAAGAACTCGACAAGAGTAGTACTGAATTACTTTTTATAGCACTAATTCATCTGATCATGAAAGATCTAGAACCAATCAAGAGAATTAAATTCACACAATTAAGCCTTAGATTGTTGCCCGTCCATTCTGAAAAGAGATAAAACAAATATTGAAAAGTACAATTTTGAAAAACAATGGTAAAATATTATAGGTACTCTAAATACACAAATTCATTGAATTGTCTTTTCAGTTGACTACTCAACTGTTTGGAAAAAAAGTACTGATTGAAGAAAATTTACTGTATTTGAAATCCAAAATTTACATTCAAACATTGTCCTATAATAACAATGCATGAGCAACAATTAAATACAAATTTCTAGGATCATTTCTAATTTATATGACAATGTTACTAAAAGAAAAAGTACATATAGATTTGCATTGTACTAGTTCTATTGTACTTGAACTGAAGTCACAAACGTGAAAAGAATTTCTGTTTCCATTATCATTTTTATATATTTGAAGTGTTATAAAGCCATTATTTGCTTGAATAAAAAAAAGAACGAAATATGTAGATTAAATCTGTCCACATGCAATACAACAACTAGACAACTTCTGGCAAACAAAAAACTTAAGATTAGACAAACCTATGGTGACAAAATCAAGAGCACAAAATGGAAGTGTTGACAAATCCTGTTAGTCCACTGAACATATCGGTACCATTGGAAATTAAATGTAAGTTGGACCAGAAAAAACAAAAGCTTGTCAAGGTTTGTAATGCTTTTGAAGAAAAACATTTTTTTTAATTGATATTGTTCAAAATTATTTAAACTTTAAAAATAATTCTGATTGTATATATGAAATATTTGAAAAACTTTTGGATATATACCTGCAGGTACCACCCAATAACAGTAGTATATATAGTGCTGTATGTAAAGGAGATGGTCTAAAATGTGAAATGCTTTTCTGGAAGTGATGATACCAGACTATGAAAATGTAAGTAATTTGTATTGATAGTCTGATAATCTTGGTTTTGTCTAAAACATAACACACCTATGTACCGGTAATTAATACATGTAAAAAACAAAAACCACAAAACACATATCAAATAAATAATATAACATATTGTGGGGAAAAACATACAAATATGACTTGAAGCAAATAGTAATTAATAAGAAAAATGTAAAAATTGAAAGGAGATGAAAACATGAATCAACTTAATGGTAAAATCTTTGCTTAATATTTATAAGCAGGTCTAGAAATTTGAAAAAAATATTTCCCCAGCCAGAAAATGATAAATTTTAACCAGTAAAATTCATGTTGTTTGGTTTGATTGGTTTCAATCCATTTTATATATCTTGTGCGCTAAAATTAAATTAAGGAATACTTGAAAAACTAATGGAAAACTAAACAATAGACTCCTATAAAATCAAGCTTTTCCCTTCTTGGAACATATTGTTCACATAATTTGTGTTAGTGTTATCTCCCTTGGTAATTTTAAAATTATCAATATATAACGTGTTATCAATTCATTAAAATTCTACTGTACTTTAAAATAACCACTTATAAAACATACTTCAAAGTCAAGTTTTTTTTGGACAGGAGGTACAACTCACAGTAACAGCATATCTCCGTAGGTTATAACTGATATAAGTTTGGAGAAGCACAATGTTAAGGATAATCACATATCAAATCACAGAATATTACTATTGGGATAACAAAATCAAAACAATGAAATAACAAAAGGAACAAACAACAAATTAATTCTCATAAGAATACATAATGAAATAAAACATAACGTTCACAAGATTAACAATGTTTTTCAATGAATACTTTCTTGCACAGCTACACTTGCACACACCTGTGACATAACATTTTCTGTTCGTAAACATTAAATGTGTAAATCAAATAGGTATACTGTATTAACAAAAATCAATAAAAATGTAATAGTAATATGCTTTATCTAAAAAATATATATATATATTTATAATGAACTATGAAATGAAATACAATTTGAAAGCAGATCAAATGAAAGTTTAATGTATCGGATGCTTCCATCAATCATTTTTGTTACCATACCTATAATCCTTTATACTTGATCAATTACTTCATACACAATCATATATATTAGTATGCACTGCATTCAAAAATATATCCCACATGCAATTGAGACTTGACAAAAAAAATAATCACAAAATTATTAAATTTAATGCCAACTCACTTGAATGTCTTGACAATTTCTTCCAGATATTATGCCAACTTTTACTTCTAAATTAAGTTACATTTGGACGCTCAACAACTGTTCATTTACTATAACTAGTAAAACAATAATACTCCTGGTTCACAAAACTCCAACAAAGTGCATGCGATAAGGTAGACGTTAAAAAAATGCTAGGAACAAGAAAGGCTAGCTCTACATGTAGCCTCGTGCGTGCACCGAATGTCTATGTTGGAGTGATTTATACCACAGTAGCTGCTTTCCGTGCGGCAAATTGCATCTGTTCTTTTGATCGTAACATGTAACCTGCTGGGGGTTCAGGTGTTACTATAAATACTCTGTCTTCTAACCGCACATCCTTGGGCCGAACTCGCTCCCTGTAGACAAATGTTAGTTGCTATGAATTCTAGCGATAATGATATCAAGCTTTGATATAAATATAACCTTCCACCAATAAATTCAACCAAGCCATAAGTTATCACAAAGGATGATTTGAAATATAAAATAAATCTGTATGTAATATATACTTAATTTACTGTACTGCATCAGAAAATGAATAAGCGCCTTTCACCCATAATATATTTTATTACTGAAAGATCACCAACCATATATTAATTATATTTACTATAATAAATCTGTAAAGTTTGAAGGAAATATACACAATACTACCAAGAACCACTCCTTTCACAAAATAAAATGAAAGTTCCTTCACCTCCGCTAAAAAACAAAGCTATTTGAATGCGAATAAGGTAATGTCATGTATATACACTTTGAAGGTAAAAAAGTTGACTGAATATTTCTGCACATCATCAAATTAACTCAGCTTACTTGAGGAATTTTTCCATGGCTGCATTGAGTTTGCCCGTTCGTGACTTGAACACACTGTCATTGCCGTTCCTGTGCTGTGCCTCTTCCCACTTCTGAATGTCATACCGGCCTGGTCCAACAGGATTCTACAATGCAAAGAATGGTTTAAATGAAGATGCACAGTGCTAATTCATTGATTGTCACAAATAAACTAATTGATATAACATTTTCTTACACCCAGTAGAGCTATACCTACCTTTCCATCATTAATTTTTTTTTTATCCTAGTAACCAACCAACCTTACACACAAATAAAACAGATGTTCCCTACCAATTAATCCACAAACTTCCTATTTGAGAAGGAGGTGCCAGTGAGGAAAGAAGTGGGGGTTGCTAACAATAACTCATTTGTTAAAATATTAGGTCAAGTACACATATTTATTTATGTTTACATGATATTTAAATTAACAACTGATTTTTAACAATTCACATGAAGATAGATATCACAAGTATCACACAAAATATGAGTACCGGTAATGCACAGTAACTACAGGTTGCTAGTTAGGAGTCTATTGACATCATTACAGTTGTCCAGAAGTTAGTCCACCAGTGTACTCTAGCTAGGTATAACTGACAGAAACAATGGAGTGTTGATTACAAATTTTAGGACAATAATACCAGTGCCTAGAAATTACTCCATTAGTATATCTTGGGTATAAATCCACAGAAACTAGAGGGTGTTAACTATGAGTTTGTGGACAGCATTATAGGCCCTTATTAGTTACTCCACCAGTGTCTTAGGTATAAATCCACAGAAACTCTAACTTACAAAGTTCCTGGTGAAGAATCGTTGTGACATCTTGTCATTCCTCTGTGCAGTTGATAAGAATCCTGGTGCATTCTTTGACCCAGGTTTGGACAGCTCTACCGGCTCGTAACTCCCAGGTCCAGGGAATGACTAAAAGTCAAAGAGGGAAAATTACAACCCTTTATGTTGACAGCAATTAAGGCTGTACTTTAAATACTTCAGAATGTATTAATGAGTAAAAAGTTCAAGTCTATACAGTCTGTATTTCCCTATACGGTAAGGGGCTAATTGATTCAAGCGCCAGCAAAATATATAATATTCCTGAAATCTTGTTAATTCCTTTTTTTTACGGATTCATCGAAAAAAGAGACAACAATGCAACTAATCAAATCTCCCTAAAACTACCAATGATTCCCAGCAAACTAGCAAACTACCAATGATTCCCAGCAAACTACCAATGATTCCTAACAAACTACCAATGATTCCCAGCAAACTACCAATGATTCCCAACAAACTACCAATGATTCCCAGCAAACTACCAATGATTCCCAGCAAACTACCAATGATTCCCAGCAAACTACCAATGATTCCTAACAAACTACCAGTAATTCCCAGCAAACTACCAATGATTCCCAACAAACTACCAATGATTCCCAACAAACTACCAATGATTCCCAACAAACTACCAATGATTCCCAGCAAACTACAAATGATTCCCAAAAAACTACCAATGATTCCCCACAAACTAGCAATGATTCCCCACAAACTACCAATGATTCCCAACAAACTACCAATGATTCCCAGCAAACAACCAATGATTCCCAGCAAACTACCAATGATTCCCATCAAACTACCAATGATTCCCAGCAACTACCAATGATTCCCAACAAACTACCAATGATTCCCAGCAAACTACCAATGATTCCCAAAAAACTACCAATGATTCCCCACAAACTAGCAATGATTCCCCACAAACTAGCAATGATTCCCAACAAACTACCAATGATTCCCAACAAACTACCAATGATTCCCAGCAAACAACCAATGATTCCTAGCAAACTACCAATGATTCCCATCAAACTACCAATGATTCCCAGCAAACTACCAATGATTCCCAACAAACTACCAATGATTCCCAACAAACTATCAATGATTCCCAGCAAACAACCAATGATTCCCAGCAAACTACCAATGATTCCCCACAAACTACCAATGATTCCCCACAAACTACCAATGATTCCCAACAAACTACCAATAATTCCCAGCAAACTACCAATGATTCCCAACAAACTACCAATGATTCCCAGCAAACTACTACTGATTCCAAGCAAACTACCAATGATTACCAACAAATTACCAATGATTCCCAGCAAACTACCAATGATTCCTAACAAAGTACCAATGCTTCCTAACAGTTTCAATGATTCCTAACAAAGTACCAATGATTCCTAACAAACTACCAATGATTCCTAACAAAGTACCAATGATTCCTCACAAAGTACCAATGATTGCTAACAAACTACCAATGATTCCCAGCAAACTACCAATGATTCCTAACAAACTATCAATGATTACCAACAAACTACCAATGATTACCAACAAACTACCAATGATTCCCAACAAACTACCAATGATTCCTAACAAACTACCAATGATTACCAACAAAGTACCAATGATTCCTCACAAAGTACCAATGATTCCTAACAAACTACCAATGATTCCTAACAAAGTACCAATGATTCCTCACAAAGTACCAATGATTGCTAACAAACTACCAATGATTCCCAGCAAACTACCAATGATTCCTAACAAACTACCAATGATTCCCAACAAAGTACCAAATACCTGGTGATTCACAATGTAAAATTCTTTAACAAAGAACCATTTTTTTTAAAAACGTTAAAGTCTGCTATTGGCATCCATTTAAATTTTTCAAAGAGGGAGTAAGAATATCTGTAACATTTAACAATATCCTGGCTACTCTTTTCTGTAATTTTAAAATCCTATCTATATATAATTTGTTGCTAGGTTCACTCCAGACAGTTGAACAGTACATAAAATGAGGAAAAACAATACTGCTGGTGATTTCTCACAAACTACTGGTGATTTCTCACAAGGATAGCTCACCTCTTCCTTTGGACACTGTTGTAGGGTGTGACAGAATATCCTCTCTGTAGCCTTAGTAGGCGGTTGTTTCACCTTACCAAACTTGCCCTGGCGTTTCCTGTGAACTGTCTTAAGATCATCCACAAAAGATTGTAAATCATATTGACCTGGTCCCAGATTGGCTAGTTTCTGAAACAGAATACATTAGAATTTAGCTTCATGATAATACAGTGCAATGTCTTTGCATCTTCGCTAGCCAAGCGTTCGCTTTGTATACACTCCACTGTATACGAAGCGAACACTTGGCTAGCAAAGATGTCAAATAAGAGGCCTAATGGGCCTAAGACATTTGCCTTATTCAAGTGACCAATCTTTTGACAATTTTATAGCACTTTATTTCAACAAGATACTTCCAGACTAAATATGACTCTATGCCTTTAAGTTCTTAAAGAAGTAATTTGAGTGTTTTAACAAACTTTACCCATATGACCTAGCATTTTGGTCAAGTCAACATTTCTTTTTGCTAAGTTTGAAGCATTACATGACTGCATGGTACAGACCATATTATATATGACTAGACATTTTTGTTCTTCTGAAGAAGTCATGTCAGTATTTTTACTCTTGTAACATTAAACATGGGTCAAAGTCATTTCCTTTCACAGACTTTGTAGCACTCCATGCCAGCAAGCTACAGGCCACATTTTGAAAGTATTTTTTTTCCAAAACTAAGAATTTCATGCCAGCAAACTATTGGCCATACATCATAATTCTTAGCCTTTGGTTCTTCAGAGAAAGCTATTAGAGTGTTGGATTTGGCCCCTGTGGACTTGTATATACATGTCAAGGTAATTCCTTTTCCTAAATTTTGTATTGCCTTTTGCAAGCAATCTCCTTACTATTTATCGTGACTCTAAGCCTTAATTTGTTGTTTCAGAGAATCTGTTAAGAATGATTTTGTAACAGGTGCAATCTATGACCCAGTATTAGCCAGGAAGTGACTTGCCATGCAAATACCCCAACTGTAGGCATTTCTGATCTCCAGAAAAAAATATGTATGAGGGTTAGAAACGTTCAAATATGCACAATATATTTCAAAGTGCCCCTAACTACCCTGTTTATGAACAATTGTTTTTCCTTTGCAAACTGATACGTCATTTACTTAGGGTGCTACTATAACACTGTATAAATCAGGTACCCCCATTTTTATTATATGTATGTGTAATCAAATATTGTTCCAACAGAGGCATATTGTGGTACTAGGGGAGATAACTCGCAATGATTGTCTAATTTGTTCCTGCCAATAAACATTCCTTACAGAAGGTCTTGTTGTGTCTCTCTCTAGGTAAGTGCCATTTAGAGTCGATTTTTGCAAAGCATTGTTGGCCCGACTGTAGATATTATAACCATTAATCATTTGTTCAATTTGGGCTTTGTGACATTGCATGTAAATGAAAGATTTTGAAGTATTTGTGAAATGAATGAGATGACTGCAGCCTGCTCCGTAGCCAGCATTAGCTCAGTACGATCCGATTGATAGTTTAAGACATGTTCTGTTACAAATCCTTATGTTTATTGGAAAACATAGTTGTCGACTTGTAAAATAACATTAGTTTTGTACATTTTAGCACATTGATAGTGTTTAGAAACTTTTCGTACAAAATTAAGCGTATTGGCTATATATATATATATATAGTAGCTGTGGACCCATAATGCTGTGCACCAAACAATTTGGCTGCACCCATAGTTCATGTGAACATCGAGCAAATCAAAAGTGAAAGTAACGGTTAGATAGATCTAATTATTATTCTTCTAATACTAATTGCAATGACAATGATCAGTCATGAAAGTATGTGGATGTAGATATGTTTAGTAACATGAAGTTACACTTAGTAACATTTAGTTACATCTTAGTTATAATTAATTCCTATGGTACAATATATGAGATATTTTAAGGGGCATGACCCTATAGCACTCAGTTATATTGATAGTTATTGTTATGAAGTGGTAATGTAGTAACACTAGTTCCGGATTAGTTACACTTTGTTAATGGTGTTTATTTTGAGGGCTGATGTTATCTGGTCGTGTACTGGATAGATAGTTGTAGCCTAAGGCTTCGCCTGGTAACTAAGGAGTTCTACAAGTTACACTTGTACTGGTGATTGTAATCTAAACATGATGGTCAGTTGTGCTTTCTAGGGTTTAATTAAAATGATTTACAGTGTAAATTGCCTATTGATGATTATATATTGTATCACGTGACTAATTTGTTCCTGCCAATAAACATTCCTTAAAGAAGGTCTTGTGTCTCTCTAGGTCCATCCAGCGAGGAACCCGAAGGGCACATGGAAGAGACCAGTCCCTTTACTTTTGCAGATCTAAATCAACTGAAAACACTTATTGGGATTTCCTACCCGATTTGGTTGTAATCAGCTGTATAGTTCTTTAGAGGAAGTGGATAAAGAACATTTATGGACAGAAGATGGACGTCATGGAATTACAATAGTTCATGTGAATTTTTGGGTCAGGTGATTTGAAACAAGAGGCCCAATGGGCCTGCATCACTCACCTGGTATTAATCCCACACTTGTAATCGTAAAAGTGGACTAAAAGTAACAGCTACAGTCAGAATATCAGTGTTTGATTCATAAGAACCTATTAAAAGATTTAAACATGATGCCTGTGACCTTGAATGTCGAACAAGGACATTAGGTGTGAAATACCTTGAAAGTAGGTCAAGGGAATTCATTTGAACAAACTTGGTAGTCCTTCATCCCAGCATGCTACAGGCCCAATTTCAGTACCCTGGGCCTTTTGGTTATTGAGAAGAAGTTGTTTGAAGATTTTAAGACATTTGACCCCTGGGACCTTGAAAGTTGGTCAAGGTCATTCATTTAAAAAATTTTGTAGTCCTTCATCCCAGCATGCTACAGGCCCAATATCAGTACCCTTGGCCTTTTGGTTATTGAGAAGAAATCGTTCGAAGATTTTACGACATTTGACCCCTGTGACCTTGAAACTGGGTCAAGGTCATTCATTTAAACAAACTTGGTAGCCCTTCATCCCAGCATGCTACAGGCCCAATATCAGTACCCTGGGCCTTTTGGTTATCGAGAAGAAGTCGTTTGAAGATTTTAAGACATCTGACCCCAGTGACCTTGAAAGAGGACGCCGGACAGACGGACGACGGACGGATGACGGACGCCGCACCATGGCATAAGCTCACTTGCCCTTCGGGCAGGTGAGCTAAAAAGACAGTGACATATTCCAATTTAAGTTTCATATCAATGCCATTGTAGATTTTAATTTCTAGAATAATTTGAAATTATGAAATTGCCACAAACTAAGTCACACAGGTTTTCATGACTCACTATGAAAGAAACGTTTCAGCAGCATTACCAAACATGAAACTTTATATTGCAAATAGTTTGAAAATTTCTGAAATTCAGCTTACTTAGGTACTATAATGGTGGACTTAGATACAATACTGGTTGATAAAAGACATGAAACTATACTTACTGGTGCTGCTAGATGTCCTACTGTGATTGGTTTGTTTCTGTCACCAGAAAACAAGTCGTAAGGTCCACGTAGACTTGTAACCTTGTTTACTCGCTCCTCTGCGAAACTCTTAAAGTTGTATGTACCAGGTCCCAGCTCAGAGCCCTGTCAATATTTGAAATTGAAAATGTTGAACTAAAACTCAAGCTAAAGAGTGAGTTATGCAGTTTGTTGGGGCTAGATAAATCCAGCAATTTAGGAACTAAGGGTACAATATTGATTATAGTTAAAATCTGTGTGTGTGAGATTTTCAGATATTAAAGTATAATTATATTCTAGATCTCCTCTGAGCTTGTTAACATTAATGATTAAGCCTTTTGGAGAGAAGAAATAGTTGAGCATGAAAGTTAAAAATACAAAGTTGTAGCAAATTAATTTTCATGGATGAAGGGATGCATTTACTGCAGAAAGTTTATTTGTGTTAATGAAGAATTTTATTTTGAAATGGGACCGGTGATAAGGCATAGCTCAAACGATTAGAGCTTTGATCTAGAGTTCAGAAGTTCTGGGTTGGAATCCTGACTGGCTTCATTGCACATTTCCTCTGTGGAGATGAAGAGGTATACTTACCACAGAAGAAAGGGTCTATAGGTGAGGATGAAGAGATATATTTATCATAGTAAGGTTTCTACGTGTGAATAAATAGATTCACCACAGAGGTAAGGGTCAAGGTATGGAATATGACTTAAGAGGTATATTAACCAAGGGAAGGGTCTAGGTATTGAATAAGAGATGATATTGACCAAGGCAAGGGTCTAGGTATGGAACAATAGATGTTATTATTTTTTCATATTATTCCCGACAACTGATTGGCCAGGAATGCATCACGTGTCCACCGATAAAAACCGATATTGACTTGTAGCGCGTGATTTTTGTTGAAGGACTGGGTGTTTCTAAAAATAGAATTATGACGCGACTCCAAACAAACACATCGTCCCGCTTCCGTAGATTTTTGCGGTGATTTTTTTTCCAGATTGCTAATATTACTGTTTTGAAAATAATAAAACAATTGTAGCCTTTGACTTCGATTGACCTCGGACTGCGTCCTCTGTTAATATATCTTTTCTCGGGTCGATAAATCCAGGTATCGACCTCAGCCAAAGGCTATAATTGAATAATATTGACCAAGGGAAGGGTCTAGGTATTTAATAACAGATATATTTGAAGGGTCTAGGTATTTAATAACAGATATATTTGAAGGGTCTAGGTATTGAATAACAGATATATTTTAAGGGTCTAGGTATTGAATAACAGATATATTTGAAGGGTGTAGGTATTGAATAACAGATATATTTGAAGGGTCGAGGTATGGAATAAGAGATATATTGACCAAGGGAAGGATCTAGGTATGGAATAACAGATATATTTGAAGGGTCTAGATATGGAATAAGATATATATTGACAAAGGGAAGGGTCTAGGTATGGAATAACAGACATATTTACTAAAGTGGTTTTGGATGGATGAGGTAGTATCTTACAGGGTGGTGGTCTTGGTTAGAGAAAAATATCTATATGTCATGATGAGGTTTTGCTGTGTGAATGAATAGTTATTTTTACCACAGTGGGAAGGTTTCTTGGCGTGGACGACCCAGCATCCAACATGCCAATTGTACTGGCTGATTTCTTTTCCTTCTGGATAATGGCTGCATGTGGCACACCACCATCTCCATATGTTCCAGGCCCTGGGGTGTTGTCCTGGTAACCAAAAAACACACAGAAAATCAAATATATGGAAGAAACAATTCCATGTCTATAATATTTATAAAGACCTCAGGTTTATATAATTGACGGATAGTACTAACCACCTCAAAATTTTCTGATAACAAGGCAAACTATTGTGAGCAATCCCTAGTCCACAACGTTTTGGCAAAATTTGATATAAAAGAAAGAGGCCCAAGGGGCTCACCGGATGAATGTGACCTTTCTTTTTAAACTTGCTAGCACTTCATGCCTACAACCTACTATCAAGTTATCATTATCCTAATCTTTTTGGTTCTTTAGAGAAAGTCATCAGAGTATTTTGACAAATCAAACCCTTATGAAGTGACCTTAAATATATGTCAAGGTTATTTTTTTCACAAACTTTGTAGACTCCAAGCTACCGAGCTACTGACCAAATATCATGAATCTAGGCATTTTTATTTCCCAGAGAAGTAATTAAGTGTTTTAACAAATTTGGCCCCTATGACCTTGAATATAGGTCAGGTCCTTTCTTTTCTTGAACTTTGTAGCACACCATGCATGAAGCTGGCTAAATATCATGACTAGGTCTTTCTGTTATTCAAAAGAAGTCATTTAATGGTTGAACAAATTGGACCCCTATGACCTTGAATATAGTTCAAGGTCATTTTTTACAAACTCTGTAGCACTAAATACAATCAAGCTTTTGGCCAAATATTACGAATCAAGGTCTTTCTGTTATACAAAAGAAGTTATGTTGGACTTTTGACCTGTATGATATTAATATAGGTCAATTATTTTTTTCCCTCAAATTTTGTAGCACTCCATGTCAGCAAACTACATGGCAAATTTTATGACTCTAGACCTTTTGGTCATGCAAAAGAAATTGTTTGAGTGTTTTAAATCATTTTACCCCTATGATCCTGAATAAAGGTCAAGTATATTACTTTCTGCATACTTTATGCTGCACTCCATGCAATCAAATACCTGGCCAAATAACATGACTCAAGGTCATTCTGTCACTCAGTAGAAAATGTCTTAGTGTTTTGACAAATTTTACCCTGTGACCTAGAATATATACAACCAGGTGGGCATGAAACCCAACTTCAGTATATGACACTCCGCCTTCCAAAAAAGTTACTCACATAGACAGATACAAACTTTGGCAAATGCAGTTGACTGCAAGTATATGAGATTACACAAGACAAAGAGACAAGTGGACTGTCTGATGGAATGACTGAGTGTATCCTATACCCTGTCTGGTGGAATTACTGAGAGTATCCTATACCCTGTCTGATGGAATGAGTGAGTGTATCCTATACCCTGTCTGATGGAATTACTGAGTGTATCCTATACCCTGTCTGGTGGAATTACTGAGAGTATCCTATACCCTGTCTGATGGAATGAGTGAGTGTATCCTATACCCTGTCTGATGGCATGACTGAGTGTATCCTATACCCTGTCTGATAGAATGACTGAGTGTATCCTATACCCTGACTGGTGGAATGACGGAGTGGGTCCTATACCCTGTCTGATGGAATGACTGGGTGGATCCTATACCCTGTCTGATGGAATGACCGAGTGTATCCTATACCCTGTCTGATGGCATGACTGAGTGTATCCTATACCCTGTCTGGTTGAATGACTGAGTGTATCCTATACCCTGTCTGATGGAATGACTGAGTGTATCCTATACCCTGTCTGGTAGTACCACTGGGAGACTTACCAGGTGATAAATCTACTACTTCTACTGATATAAGAGGAGGGTTTGGAGGGTACATACCACAGACTGATCCTTGAAACGATATGACAGGGTCTGACAGATACCCCGGTAGCTCCTTGGTTTTTCATCACCATTCTGCAGGAAATCTTTGATATCGTATGAACCAGGACCAAGTTTCCTTGCCTTAAATGAAAATAAGAAAGTCATCAACAAACAGCCACAAACTTAAGGTAGCGGGTACGTACGTACCAATGCATCAGTTATAATCACAAAGGAGAGTTCCACTCGGATTTGTTTTTACTTTGAGTATTCTCCCTTAAAGATCTAAGCAATCAAGAGGACTTTTTCTGGCTTAGAGTAATTCCCATGTCAAGTTTTTCCTTAATTTGTGGCTCATAAATTGGATACTTATTTTTACATTTACATTTTGGTATAATTTATTGCCCAAAAAGGCTTAATAATCCCAAACTGAATATTTCATTCAACTCAAAATTTGCCAAATTTGATTTAATGGAGGGTGTTTGGATGGGCAACACCGATCTGGCAAGTAAAGGTAAGCATATGTTACCACTGTCAGATTAGGTATCAGCCCAGGTGACCTAGTTCTGATATATATGTATATTGCATTTGAGAAGTTCAAATCAACAAACTTACATAGTGCTGTCAGGGTTGTGCAATTTCATATTTAAAGTAAAAGCCTGCTGGCCGATTTTGAAAAATCTACTAGCCAGATCTATATATGCATAGTAAATAATGTTCACTACAGCCCCAATTAACATATAATCGAGCAGCCCTTGGTAATGAGCTAGTGGACTTGTACAACCCTTGCTTTGGAGTGCATTTACCTGGTCAGAGTTTTTTATAACAAGATGAAATTTTTCTATAAAAGTTAATTTTCATAGTGAACATTACAGCGGTGTTTTCTTTTTTTTCTTTCGTAGAGATTATTGTAGATATAATTAAAACCTGCTGGGTAGAGGGCTGCTTATTGTTGTGTGGGGATTATTGGAGGAGGGCTGCTTATTGTTGTGAGGGATTATTGGAGGATGGCTGCTTATTGTTGTGAGGGATTATTGGAGGAGGGCTGCTTATTTTTGTGTGGGGATTATTGGAGGAGGGGCTGCTTGTTGGAGCAGAGATGCTTATTGAACAACTGCCATTGACGAAAGTTAAATTTTCGAAATTAACTTTTATGATAGAGTATAAATATATTTAAAACATGAATGCAATCATATACTGAATTTCTAATTTTTGAAGGAGTGCTTTTTGGGGGAAATGTTTTTTTTATTTTGGGAGGGACGATTATTAGTGGATGGTGGTTACTTACTTTGCTTATATTTGATCATTTGGGAGAAGTTATTAATGGAGGATGGTGCTTATTTGGGCAAGGGTCATTCTTATCAGAGGAGGAGTTCTTGTTACCACACATACAGTACTTATTTCTTGTGTAGCTTAGATTGCTAATCAATTGCTGAGAGTTGAGTTTTGGAAATCAACTTATTATGATACTGTCTGAATATAATCAAAATATGAATGCAATCATGCATATACTGAAATTACAATTTCCTGTGTTCATTAATACTAAAATATCTTATTTCTTTTTCTGCAGATTTCAATATTTAACTCATTCTCCCCTGAAGACACATTTGAACTCGTCCAATCCAAAGGTTGGAATAGTTCATTATGAAACTTGGTGGTGAATGAGTTTAAAGACCCACTTGGAAATGAAATTAGATTTTGTAAGAATTGATTGTCAAAATTACAGGTAAGTCATGACAATTTCTTTGAGTGCCATAAGCATATACTAAATTTTATGCTTTACAGGAATCTGTTAAATGTATTCTTGGTCAGGTGTGTTAGCTGTGTATGTGTATGGCCGTACTCTGTATTTAATGTGTATCATCTTCACACTCGGCAACTATTATACTCAATAATTGATTTACCCCCGGGTACACATACCACATTCACCTGGCCCGCCACAAACGGATGGCAACCATCCTTCTTAGTATCAACAAACACAACCTACTGGCACAGTTGTGTTGTCCCAGGATCAAGTTGATTGACTCGACCCTTCAGCCAGAGTAGCTTGGTTCAATTGATCAATACCAGCTTTGTGATTGAATAAAGCTGTACTCCGCAAACATTGAGAGCGTAATCCCATTTATCATCATTACATATCTGTAAACTTTGTTATAGGCTATACAAAGTGTCCTAGATAAACATATAAGTTTAACACAGGAAATACAGACGACACTGCAGTCTCAGGCAGGGCTGTACCGCGTCACTGGTATTCAATGGTTTTGGTATATGGATTGTTTTACTGTCTATATAATATTAATCTGGTAAGTTTGGTCTATATTGGGTCAGTTATAGTCTAAACTGAAGTAACACTCTGTATAATGATAAATTCTCGATCAAGGTGATAATAAAAGACAATTAAGAGTGATGTACCCAATATATTTCAACAATGAACCCGACATTGGGGATTATGACAACTCCCTCCTGATCACGAATCCCTACATGTATTCGGGGACTTTGTGTGTGTGTGTGTTAATTCCTACTATAAAGAAACCCAGATCAATTGCCTTCACACTGCACTATGATATTAGCATGTTACATGTATCATTATATTAATAAAATTCTGAATCAAAACTGTTTAATTCAAGATAACACATTTCAAATGTTCACATTCTATATATAAAACTTTAAAATAATCTGTCAGGGAAGCCATTGTTTCAAAGTTGATTTTCTGAAGGGAAGGGTTGGTGAAAAGTTTAAAAATTCAAAAATTTTGAAAGCAATGAATTTGCCCAACACTCTTAACACTCTTAACCCACTTATCTGATATCTGAAGATGAAGGAGATATAAACACACTAGATAAATTGTTATGTCTTGATTTACATTTTATATACCTGTCACCTCCAGGCCATGATACCCGACTTGCCTTCGGAATATTTATAATCCTGTACATTTAAGACCACAGCACTTAGACAATGTGTACCGGACACTTCAAACACTGACTTTAGTATATGGCTGGGCAAACAAACTAAGATATCCCTAGAATACTTCAGGTCAACCAGACCATTGTCAAACCAATAGAATTCATTGTTTGTATATCAAGGTACAGTTGACCTAGATTACTAACTTTGATATCTTAATTCTCCGTTTATCTAGAAGTAGATTTTTTGTTTAAGTTAAAGATACACTGACACACACAGTGGAACCTGAGTTAATAGGCATTAAAATTAGTTGGATTAAACAGTGTGAATAAAGTTGTCTTTACCGACATCAAGAGGGACCCTAGATAAGTTGGCTTGGTCAGATTAGACAGTGTTACTTAGTAAACCTGTCATGCAGTCCAACAAGATAGTTGGTCGGATTTAGCAAGGCTTGTAAACCTGTCTTTACCGACATCAAGGAGGACTAGATAAATTGGTCAGATTAGTCATTGTTGATAAACCTGACTTGACCAGAATCAAAGAGGTAATTTTTGAGGACCATGTGGAAGATTAGCCCATAAAGAATGTCTATTATTAAGAGGTCAGCCTCGTTTAGCTAGTAACTATATGGGTGAAACAAACAGGTCCTAAGTATTTCAATTTTGTAGACATAATTGTTTTAGCGGTAATCATGAGGTAGGCACTAGAGTGTGGCAGTATGATTGTGGCAATAAAAATACTTTTCCACAACATGTATCAAAGAGCGACAAGCTGCCATGTTTATTGCAACAACTTTAGCAACAATCACTATACTGAAGCAAGAACAATGATTTCATTTTACTCAACATATAAATAAATATATACTCTGAATTTTCTATCAATTCTTTATGCATAGACAAATAATGACATATGGTATAAATTACCAATTGTACATTGTATTGTTAATCTTGCAAATTACCTCGGTTAAGTCTGAATATTTCAATTATCACCAGAATATAAAAATTACATATGTGTAACAGCTAAGGAATATGATGGGAAAATACTGCCTTACTGGCAAGCTAGCTTTTCTGGTGATGCAGTATATAAACCTGAGGACCCGCTCACTAGTTCAGCAACCTCGAGCATGGTCAGTAGATAGATGGATGACTGCCTGCATGTTACATATGTACGGTACTATAAACTCTCAAATTTCCCTTTAGGCACAATATATGTATTAAAATGTATGTTCTATGCTTTAAATAAGTATGTTAAAAGGGTACCCTGATTAACTGAAAAACTGTACAGAGGTTAATTTTATTGAAATAATTTACTTTTTAACCTTTGACTAGACATTGACAAATCAATAATTTACTTAAAGAAATTACATGTATATCTTTAAATCTTTCTAGCGCCACTAGGTCTGTGGGAGCAACATATCCTTTCTGATAAAAAATAATCATGTTACTGGCAAATGATTAACCTATGTGTATACATCAGGTCCCACAACAGGGTGTGCATAAATTTCTACCAAACAAATATCTGTGTGTACACACCTTGCCAGGTGTTAAGTATATATATGTTAAAAGCAAAATAAGGTGGGTACAGTCATGAATATATTATATATCCAAAGAGGTTCAGAAAATAAGTTTCAAACATTTGAATGTTACTAATTATGAGTCCTTTTTAACTCTTGCTGTTGCTCTATGATTCTCCCTTAACATGGGAATGTGATACATGTTTCACTAGGTGGTGTGTAAGTTCAGAACTGTATGCTTTTTTATAAAAAAAATCTTAAAGAACAATCATACTTTGATTTCCTGAATTAGGTATCTTTCCAAGAGCATGCTTTCTTTTATTTTTATATATATATATACAAAAATATAGCTTAAGTTTTGACATAAATAATTGCTTCTTTCACTTTTTATTTTTCAACTATTTCTCTAAAAATAGTATTCTGAACATTTTTGTTAATGAATCATTATACTAACCAGACTTTGCACAACCAAGCCCAGGTATTTAACATAACATTTAAAACTAACAAGACTTTTAAAACCCGGTCCATGTGTTAAACATAACATTGAACACACATTCAAGTGATACTGTAAGTTAAATGGAGAGATTTACAGTTAAACCCGACTACAGACATTTTTAAGAAGGAATTATCGAAATATTTGTTAAAAAAAAAGAAAGTGTGTTCACATAAATAAAGTCAGATATTACAGAATGTCCTTAAAGTCAGGTGTCATCAAGTCAGTTTTTACTGTTTTCACAAAATGTCCTTGAGGTCAGATGTCAATACAGTAAGGTTTTACTTTACCTGATGACTCTAACACTTAATCACATTAAAATTTACATAAACATTTATGTATTTTAAAAAACCCACAATTTAAATATAACTGTTACCAGTATTCATTTTTTGACATTTGCTTGCCAAACAAATTTAATATACCTTTTACCTGATGTATCAGTATTCCTTTAGCTTACAAATTCTTTAAACAAGAACAATTCCATAGCAGTCAAATTTCTTAATCAATTTCTTCAGAATATGATTTAAATATTCATTTCATTATTATTTTTTTCATCTTTGGTAAAAATAATTATGACAAAACTACATATTTCCTACCTGATGTATATTTTGTTAAGCTGACAGGATCTTTAAGTTGTATTTAGACTTGTCCAGAGACAGCAGGGGATCAATGCTGTTTTTATTGTAACATTTAATTGACATTGCATGTTATAGGATCTCTTCTAGTTCAGCTCTGGTTTAATGCTTTATGACAAAGAACAATACAAAACCTTTGTTTACTGTATTCTCACGACTATGAAAATGGTAGTTACCAACACGTCACAGTGAAATTTGATTAAATTGTAGATATTTGATTGTGTCTAATGAGTTTCAGTGAGCAATATAACCCCTTAACTCACAATCTAGGATTGTTGTAAACCTTTATCAGGTTTTCATCAGAAACAACCAGTTCATTTGGTTTTAAATGTAGTTTTTGTTATCTGGATTGTTGACTGGCAATCCCTTAATTAAATCCCAAGTGAATTGACATTTTTGAACTCCATTAAATAAAATATTTTAAAATACATGGATGGTTACTCAGAATGGTGATTAATTGATATTAACCATTTCTGAAAATGTGTATATTTGCAGCCTTATACTTGGTATATAAATATGTAAAGTGGATCAAGGGGTATCTAAGTTGTAAGAGTTATTTACTGATACTTTAATCACACCATGTTTCAGGTTTAGTGAGCTTGTGATTACCGTATTTAAGCATGTTTAAACCTTCTTTTATGCAAAAAATTATACATAGTAAATTATTATTAAAATTATTTATCAAAAATTGCTGAGCCTACCAGCATCTTCTTCAGTTCCCATTGATCTTTATGTAGAAGGTGAGGTAGGGCAGCCATTCTCTCTACCTCGTAGGCACGAGACCATCCTGGACCTGATGCTCGTTCTTCTACAGACTTCGAGCTGAACCCTCCATTGTCAACCTTGTATGATCCTGGTCCTAGTCGTCGGTTCTATAAAACAGAAACGTGCAAACTGATTTTCTTCTTCTCCAAAATTATCAATGATAACACAAAAATGGGGATTTCTGACTGACAGCAAATAAAAATGCGTGATTGATACGACAAACTTTTACATACATAAACTGTCTTTATTTTATTTGTATTATACCATTTCATTACCTGGTCACTCATATCATGACCAGTTTGGCCTTGCACTGAATTAATATCATGACTGGATCGGATCTTCAATCTGTCGATTTTAGGTGTTAACTGTTAAGTTTTCTAATTTATCAACAAAATTGCCAGCTGTTATCTTTCCATAAAATATCATATATAAATCTACCCCGGTATATATACGCCATTTTTGGGTGTCCGACTAAGCTGATATGCGTATAATGAAAACTTATAAAATCTTAACTGGAGACTATTGTAGTACCGCTCAACAAGTTTTTGTGACAAATTCAATCTCAGATGACATTTAAGTTAAAGTCATTGTCAAGTTTGATATTGAATATTGAAAACCTGACGTGTCAATTTATCATGTCAAATTACTTTCAGATATCAAATTTAAACACAGTTCAGTTACAAAGTTTATCAGTGATTTTAAATATACTTAAATCTTTCATTATCTCATTTTCATACAACCCCTATATATACAAATGTTTTACTGGGCCAACATATATTATAGATGAAAGAATTTAAATGGAAATAAATCGGTTCCTCATTTATTTATAAACTTGTTTCAATTAATACATTTAGTTGGATTATCTCATTTTTCAACATCGTGTAGTTTCTTTTTATCATATGATATCAAAAATGAAATCAATAACTAGTAAAAGTGTATTTTTCAAGGGAAATCTGAGCAGCAAGCTAAACAATTTTGATAATTTACCTACAATGTAGTTCTAATGTACAGTGAGTGAATGTTACCAATTCTTATTATACACATACAGTAGAACTACAATCAAGGTCCCATCGGTAGGAACACATTGAAAATTACAGCTAATAAGTTGAAATAAAACACTGGGGGTCATTTTAACACCAAATCATGGATATTACAGTGTATCATTTTTTCTTGTTGTATTAATCCAATGTTTACAGATTTTTTTTTTTGCTTTGTATTCCATCACTTAACAATCACATTCAGTCATATGCAGTACAACCTATATATATACAGGATCTCAAATTTGTTTTAAGTTCAACATTCTGAGTCGATTCAGTCAAACTCTTGATGCTTCTCATTTTTCCTGATAGTCCTGCAAAGTTTGAAACATCCAACTTTGACTGTATTATCTTTCCAAATTACAAAAATGCAAATGTATATATCTCTGCATGCTGAAGACAAACAATTATGGATGATGAAGGATTTCAACAAGTTAAACGATACAAAATACGAAAACTTTCGAAAAGACAATATGAAAGAATTAGTCTAACCTTGCTATCAAATTTAAGTGGTTTTGAATAGCAGACCTTGAACATGATGATCAATTAACTAAAGCAAAGCTATGGTAGGGCCTGCCCCAAGCTGCTCACAAACTGAATCCTGTCTATAAGTTACAGTTGATTTTACATGAGAAAATAAAGTTTACCTAGCCTATACGCTGAGCTTTTATTTGCCTGCTTGAAGTAAAGACTAATGACACTCTTTGTTAGATATTATAGTTTCTGTGCTGTAGTGTTAAAATGGTATGGTATCATACTTAACGAGTGGCTGGGAACACAGACCCTGTTGAGGTAAAGAACAATGCTTGGGGTACAAAGTGGAATATAACGTTAGTGCTGGCAAATTTGCCACCCTGTGACGAAAATGCCATACGACGTCATAATACATAAGATGTGACGTTAACAACGTCACCATAGTCTTCAACAGTTAAAGCCTTCAAACATTTTGACAAGAAGAGGTATAAGAAGGGAAAAGTTAAACAGTTATGAGGTTGGTTAGTGTAAATGCATTACATACAAATTGAAAATACCCATATATCTCAATGCATATTGCAGTTTCATGGTCGACTGAGCCGTCAATGCAAGTAAATTGTTTTTCTACAAGTGTACTTTGGTATATACCATGTATACTGACGACCCAATGCTTGTTTAAGGAAATGCCGTTCGGAACAATTTGATATTTCATTTTCCATTTTCATGCTATATATGTATTTTGAAAACAATCAACCAGTTTATTTTTTTAAATATTCTAATAATAGGACAAAAAATGCTCCTGGCAGCTAGATGTGATTTTAATGACTCACCAATACATCTATAGATTTTTTGTCATAAGGTATCTCTGTGAAAGTGCCAGGGTATTTGCTTTTGGGATGAACTCCTGATACATCAAACCTGGAAAAAACAAAAGGTTCAACAATTAATACAAAACAAAATCAAAGATACACATATTGTAAATCCTGTTTTAAAATCAATATTACAGTGGGGTAAAATATATGTGTGGATCATACATACACTCCTTTAGAACTACTGCATGAAGCTTAAACGTCCTTTATTAGTTGAGATTGGAGTATATTACGTGTACGATACATTTGAATTACAACTGTGTATTCAATTCCATTAGATTATAAATTGATACATTTTTTCAAACTGTAATTGGAATAACAGCTGAATAATACAAAAGTTTTTTTTAAATGTCCAGAGCTTAAATTTATCAACCGTAATTTACAAGCTATTATTAACCTTGGTATTAGATAGTATTCGATAGATTACTATCAACAGAACATTTAGCGTGACATATTGCAATAATGGTTTTTCGGGTTGTCGTATACTTGTACTGTAAGCAAGAACCTGTAAAAATCGTCTTTAATATAACGTCGACTACGTTTAAAGGACAAACTGTCACACATCACTTCTATTAATTTAAAAAAACAGGAAGTATCGCATTAATGGAATATTAACACCTAAACAAAGATGAATGCGTATATTTTCCATAAGAATGATATAATATTGATAAAATACTGCATATGATTTGTAAATATGCAGGACCTTTCAATAAAAATAATTCTTTTATTTAATACTTGCCTCGCTGTCTGTGTGCCAAATGGAGCTCCGTTATATTTCTTTTCTGCCATAGTTCCTTCGTTTAATTACTAGGTATCTTTTAATCCTACTTTGAAACACACATCCCTTTTAATGAGCTACATGGTAGTAAAATTATCGACATCTATAGCCCTACACTCGCTCCCGAGTTGTCAGCGAGAACAGCGTCACGTCACATGGCAACATCAAGCCTACTCTCTAACCCAAAGCGGAAGTAAAAGTAAACAAAGGCGAAATACTCAATTTTCTTATCGATTATCAAGATTTTAACAACTGTTTGGAAAGAAAACGATATATTTCAATTTCATGTAGCCTTAAAATTATCGAATGAAACACGAAACATGAAAAAATATCACAAAAAAGGTGTTGCCAAGGGGAGGTAACTCTAATTTTGACAAGTATATGTGCAGACGACGTATTAATCGCATAGGTCAAGGAATAGTGATAAAGATAGTGCCGTCGCTGGGGCTCGAACCTGCGACCATTGGCTCTCCATCCAGAAGCTCTACCGCTGAGCTAAAGGGAAATTACCCACAGCTGACGCATGTAAGGCAACCTAAATAATCCACATCTTTTTATTTATTACAAATGTACCATTGTAATAAATAAAAAGATGTGGATTATTTAGGTTCAAGGTAGGAGAACCCTTGGCTGGGAGTCAAAGAACCAGGGTTGGCGATTGGAAAAAGGGGGAAAAGTGTAGAAGATGTGCATTGATTAGGTTGCCTCACAAGCATCAGCTGTAGGGAATTTCCCTTTAGCTCAGCAGTAGAGCATCGGGTATATTACAGGGACCCAACGTAATAACATTCGATCAACATGAAAAATGTAATTCAATATGTATATTTAATCATATACTTTGATATCGGTGATCTAATAACGAAATAACGCCAAGGGTCGCGGGTTCGAGCCAAAGCGACGGCACTATCTTTATCACTATTCCTCGTCCTACTACACATGTGATATTTCAAAAGAATAAAGTATCCGATTCTTCGTGTGATGGTGGGCTAAAAATGTTTTTCAATAATTTGCTTTTAAGAAACAAGTTAACAAAGAGATGAATAGATTGACAGTGACCAAAATATCTTAATCAGTAGGGCTAGATTTTCAATGCATTCCTTCCAGGACAAACAGTTGCTATCTGAATACAAAACAGCATTGTGACCAATTGAGATATCTGGTGTTACAAATTGGTTCTAGTAATGTGTCAAGTATTGGTAGCATATTTTAAAGTACTACTATTCATTAGAAGTCAGCTTGTGATAACAAACTGCAGTTCCCGATGGTTGAAGTTAGATAACTGATAAATTATGCAAACAGTTTGAACTTTCCTCGAGTACACATGACATGCAGAAAAGCATATTATCTTCAACAGATGTTCATAGTATATATTATGAATGCATCTTTTTATATCAGTACATGTTTATCATGCACTATAACTGTATACAAGGAAACTTTCATACTTCACTGTAAAATCCATGTTCGCCCAGTGTTAATTTTACTCTTAAAATGTATATGTTGTTTTCTTATATTTGCAGTTATGATAAATTTGCCCTCATTGTGAAAGGTGCAAATTAAACTGCAGGGAAAAAATTTCTGTATACATTAACCACAAACGGAAATATCATTACATAACCCTATCAAATTCATATCTGGTATGAATGCCTGACCCAATTATTGACATCATTTCTAAATACATGTACAAGTATTATACATATATTTATTATTGCCAACTAGAGATTTAGAAATCAGCTATTTCATGGAATCTGTCGTTTCACTTTTGAAAGCTGGTCATTAATCATCTAGTACATACCAGTGTTGCTGGTCTGAGGATTCTAGCAGTTTAGTGACTATACAAATCTGAATTATAAGAACAAAGAAACATGAATGCAACTACAGTATACTTACAAGTCTTGGTCCATATGCACAAACAGAAAACCACAAGCAGTACAAAATTTGTAACTTTTTTTTATTATTTCAAATAACTTTTTATCTACTTTCTCAGTTCACAAACTTTGGGAATGAAGACATCACTTGTGATTCAATGGATTCAATAAGAAAGATGAATTGTTAAAGAGTCAACGGCTGTTTTTTTATAATAAAATAAATACTTCATGACAGCTATAGATTTACAGGGTGAGAAAATGATATATTTCATACAATGAAATGTAACATGACATTTGATAAAAAAGGAGGCAATTAGATGAATTTTGATAAAATATGTAGTAATCAACATGTGATGAGATGATAAATATGAACGATTGCAGCAGCAGATTGACAACATAAACAACTCTGTATTTACACTATAAAATAGGACAAAAATGATTTCCACGATGTGTATGTAGTTCATATGAATTATGCTCAATTTCTTTCATGTAAATGTGTATCACAAACTTTCACATTCATACAAGTAGTTTAGGCTTGGCTTCAAACACAAGCATTCATCAAATAGCTAAGGAAAATATCTTGCACTTTTTTTAATTCCTCAATGTAAATGGCATTACATGTTCATAGTTTGTTCGAAGTTTGAATTTAAAGCCTGCTTTCTTTTGAATTGATTTGATTTGACACTAATCTTGGTTGCTGTTTTCCCCTTTAAGGCCCTATAACCACGGATAATTTGTTAACAGCTTTGAGACGACCTACCAACTAGGTTGTGATAAAGCGGTATATAAGAACCTTGAATTATTATTATTATTATTTTCCAATATTCACCCACAGCTTACTACATGTGAAAGACATGTAAACAATGCAGAAATTTTACAGTTTATTAAATTTAACATAGTTGTGAGTTGAACTGATGTAGAGATTCTTCTAGATGTTTTTGCTATGACCTTGAACATGAGAAGTAACAGCAGGGTAAACAATAACAAATCACAAGAATAAACGTTACAATCTGGTATATTTTCACAACCAATAAAATTTAAATGTTTTACATAAAAAGTAAAGATGTTACACTTTAAAAGTATGAAGGACTTGTTTAATGTCAGTCCTTCAAAAATGGATTCCATATACCTGTTGAGAAGCATTTCTTTTGGGAATGGTGAAAGTGAACATTTTTAACCCTTTTTCCCCTATTAAACAGAATTTAAACACATACATTTTCCAAGGAAATTCAATGATACTGAATGAATTAGACAACCAAGTTGCAGAGAAACAAACCTTAATTACTTTTTCATCCTGAAATGTTGTCACAAGTCTATGGTATTAGCTTATGTTTGTCACTTCTTTATCTATTAACAGTATGTAGAACTAGTTATTCAATTTGCATATATGAACCATTTCATCTATCTTGCTTTAATAATCCTGAAGTGAAACAAGTCACATGTAAAAAAAATAGTTATAATTAATCCAAGAGCCACTGGATTGAACTTTCAGCAGTTAACAAACATGGGTGGTAGTTACTACCATTGTTATCTAATTTATTAAAAATTCTTTTGTTGTTACTCGATTGTTTATGGTCAGCTACCACACAATCTTTTTTTACTGAACATCAATGCTAGAGATGTAAAGGTCTAACAACACTCACTATCATTGTTATAGGAAATCATTCAATTTAATGGTTGACACTGTAACTCTTTACTTCTGTATGGATCCAGGATTCATTCACCATTATTTTGATAGAGTCCACTGATCTTGTGCCTTTATATATATCACAGCTATTAAAAGTATTCTGTTACGATCAATGAAATCTTTACTGAGAAAGTAGATAAACAGTTCAATAGATATATCTTCATTTAACAAAGGATGTGTCAGCATTCCTTTTTAAGAATTAAACTGTTTTCTTGAATTATTGAACCAGTCAAAGATTGTTATTCCCTTATTTATATCTATAGCTTATTCCAGCTAGATAGGGTGCTATATCAAATGTTTATTATTATATCCCATTCAGCTTGAGACCACAGCATAAGCCTAATCGATACAAACAAGTCTTTCAAATCAAAGAGTGTACATCAAAGATTGTTTAAACCATTTTAAGTGGAAAATGCAAACTCATCTTCTACTTTCATCATTTGCCCTATGTATCTTTTAAAAACTAACACACCAAATATTGAGAAAATTGATTGGCACATTCTCATATCAGTCAAACTCAAAAATCAAAATACCCAGTCCTATTATTAAAGATATTTGTATGCATCATACATGAGATTCCTTTTAAAATACAGACAGAATACAACTCGTCAGCTACAATCATCAACAATTGAGTGTTTAGAAGAGAAAAAAATGTCAGTGAAACAAAAATACCTCAAGATAACGAAATGCTGGAATTATTTTAGTCCATACCAAACAAGTGTGACATAAAAAAAAACCACTTGATCAGCACCAAAAAATTCTGGTGATCATCTGTCTATTTTGTCAGTAACGTCGTCATCTTCTATGAACCAAACCACTGTACCATTCTTGTTTTTTGAAAGACTGTAATTCATTCTAAAACGTTATTTAATATAGATTAAGAAGTACTAAAACAATGGAAGAATTCTAAAAATCAGTACATTCAACATAAAACAAGGCAAATATTCCCTGGATGATTGCATAATTGAAACACATTTTCTTCAAAAAACAAAACAAAGAAACATAAAAAAGTAACAAATGCAGTATTCATTCAAAGGATGACATCGCTGAGTTGAAATGGTAAAACTTCATGCTTGGTTTATAATCCTGGTCCTTTTGTAAAGATCCCTTAAAACTGCAACACATCCTTTTAGAATATATTGTTGGAAATTAATGTGCATACAAGTTCGCATTACCTGTATGCAAGGTATTCTTCTTGCCATTGAGACATCCACACATCATTCGCGCACCACTAAAACTCACTGAAAACTATAACACAAAATCCGGATCGTCATCACTATCATCCTCACTGTCACTTTTATATCGCCGTTTCCGCTTTTTGTGTTTCTTTCTGTCTCTCGATGATGATGACGACGATTTAGGTGTAGATGAAAATGAACTGCTAAATGTACTAGATGAAGTCCTTGTAGATGAGGGTGTTTGAATTTTAATTTTCTTCTTTTCGGATGTGCCATGTATTAAATGGTGATGTTTAGAGAGTCTTGATGATAAGGAGTGATGATGTGTTGAATGCTGAAAAAGAAGGTAAATAAAAAGTAAAAAATACTTTCAAATGACTTATAATTAAATGTACACAAGATATTGGATAGTCTCATTTTGAATAGCCCACTTACTGCTTTTAAAATATCAATACCCTCTTGTTTTAAAATCTCATAACTCCAAAAACTTAGTTTCTGTCACAAGACTGATGAGAATAAAACAATTTGTGTAAGGAGTTGATTAATATGCTATCCCAATATTCAAATATGTCAATTGTTTTTAAGAGCACAAACTGCAATATTTATTGTTATACAACATTTGTTTCATGGTATGTGATTATGGAAGTTACTATTTGGCAAAAGTAAATGTTTAGATACATATAAATGGGTAAAAATCACTGTAAACATGGTATCTTGATATTTTCTGTGCATTCCATTTGCAAACAAAAATTATTTTCTCAGTAAAGACTACAAATTGTGTCATTCTAGGAAGATCACAATAACATGGCCCTTCTCTGCTCCAAGCAAACTTACATGTCCTGTGTGATGTGTGGGCGGTGGCGGAGGGTGATGAGGCTTGCTTGTCTCATTGGAATTGGCTTCTGTGTTGGCATTGGCATCTGTGTCTGTAGGTTGGTTCTCTGCGCCCTCTTTACCCGGAGCTGCCTCGCCCGCCGTGCCTGCGGGGGCGGTGGCTGTCCCTGCTGCATCTGGCTTGGCAGGGTTAGGAGTGCCAGTCTTACCCTCGCCATCACTGTCATCGTCGTCAGGCGGGTCTATACACAACATTAGCGCTTTGAACTGTAACAGAAATATTAGTGTTAAGACCATACTAGTCCAGAAACTGAAGTGAAGAAATAAATATTACAAATGGGTTCATGTTCAGGCAATAAATAATGAGAGTTATCACTTAAATCTGCTCCCTGACTCCTCCTTTCATCAGTTCTTACTATCCTATCGCATTACAGTTTATCAGACAACCTTTTCTCGTTACCAACTGCAGGAAATCATTACTTTTCTTTTGGAAGCTATCAATTACATGGAACAAGCAATATTCCTTGCTTGAGACTTCAGTAATAGATTACTTATGACTTTACAGAATTAAAGGAAGATAACAAATAATAGATTACATTGAAGCACATTTCCAGGTGTGTATACACTCATTGTACTGGAATGTAGATGTGTTCTTACCTCCAAGTAATCATTGACTAGTTTTGTCCGCACTTCGATGTCCTCTGAAGATTTTGGTGTACCTTCAGCAAGCACTTCCAGCACTGTTTCTGGATTGAACTTGACCAGAAACTTTCTTGTAACAGGTTTATCATATAACTTGGTTTCTGCCGGGGAGTAGTTGTGAATTTTGCTAAAATAGTAAGAATATAAGGGTGTGAAAAATCAGGATTTAAATCAGCAAGTGATTTCCTCATAAATGTGTTGTCTTATTTTCTGATTGATCAAACACACAAAAACATGAACATAATGATGTATTATCCAATGGCAGTCAAATGCTACACTTGCACTCAATGCTGAATTATAATTCTACAATTGTAAAGTGTATAAGTATATATTACACAGGAAAACAGGTTAATTTATAGTTAATTTTTCAATTTACTTGCAATAATTTGCCTTCAAGGAAACTTGCTGTCACTGCAAATTCTTAAAAATCCAATCATAATCCTCGGCGTAAGTAAGTCTGGCAAAAAAGACCACTGCAACTTTGAGTGTGTCAGTATGAGGATGAAAGATGACCGCAGGAATAGTGAGCATTCCACTAAGGGGAGTACAAGTGACCACATGTACACTAAGTCTAGCGAATGACCACATGAACATAGTTATTTATTGAAATCACATGACCAATGGGATAGTATCAGACTGAAATGACCAGCTCACCTGTCTGTGAAACCGTAAAGCTCCTTTAGGTGCTGCTTTAGATGGAGCAATAGGATACAGCCTTGGGAGAATCGACAGATCTCTAGGAGGGGCTGGATACATGCTGGAAGGCGCTCTACAAGTAAAAACCATTAGTCATCATAATAATGATTCAAGCTTGATGATTCTTTCTTGAAGTATCTGTCTACATAGACCACTTGTCTATCTTAATAAGATCTTCCCCTTCCTTTCATATGGGTTTATAATTAAATTTTAGCATGTCATTTAATAATATCGAATATCAACCTACTGCAAATAGAACATGAGTAAAGCAAAGAGGAATATACGCCCATCCCATGCCAATCTGACATACTTATAATCCTACTGATGCATCATTGTATCTAAATGTATGAAAATATGGAAATATAATAAGTTGAGAACTTTTTCTGGATTATAAAAAAAGTAGAAACATACTATACTTTACCAACTTAGGCTGAAGGAATATATATATTTCATATATCCTTTATGGCCCTTAAAAATTAATTTTCATAGAAATATTCTCCCTTTGTATCTAGTTCAAACTATTAACAGAAAATGAAATAGCCCTTTTAGTCAATAATTGTTCATTTTGCAACATCAAAGCCAAAGACGTTCTTATTGTTCATTAATTACTTGCAGTTTTCGATATTAATCTCATCAGAATCGTGTTAACTTATTGTGCAGAAATTGTTGAACAATCAGATAGCATTAAGCTGATAAATGATGTGCAGGTATTGCACCTGGCCAGAATTGACAAACTTATTGTGCAGAAACTGTTAACCAATCAGAGTACTGTATGCTATTAAATTATACACAGATTTGGCTCAACTATGAAATTAGTCTAAGTCTTCATATAATGTACATGCACACTGATTTCCGCGAAAATTGAATAATATTTATCAAGTTATCATGCAGAAACTTAAGTTTAGAAATTGACCAATCAGAGCACCGTATGCTACCAGATTAATTACGTGAGGATTTTGGTCAAATTGGAATGCAGCCTCAGTCTTGGTATAATGTACATGCACATGAACGGATGCTCCCCATACATCTTGTCAACATTTTTGAGTTTTAAGTTACAAATTTTGAACTATAGTATAGCGTACCAAGCAAAGCCTCCGGATCGTCGTCTTCCTCATCATCGATTGATTTTTGGGCTCCATTCTGTCCATTCTGGTTGTTTACAAGACCCTGCAAATAGAACATATCATATTCATGACTACCCAAAGAAACAATGATGTGAGGATAAAAAATCAGAAAGGCAACACAAATTAATATGACCAAAAATAAGGACACAATTAACTTGAAAAATTCTGAAAGCTTTTCATCGATAACTCTCACCACATGCTGGTCAGAATTCTGTAGAGTGGAAGTCATGTGTTTTCAATATTAGGTGCAACATTATTTTGTCTTTTAAATAATCACATGCACTAGACACAGATAAAACTTAAATATACCCGGTAATGAATAATGAGCCAACAGTAAATACAAGCAGAGGCATAATTGAGCATTTAAATGATAGAGAACAAAACAAAAATAAACTGTACCCCATGGTGTTCTCGGTCACTGCCATACAGCTTCTAAAATAGAACAAAAAATTTAAGCAAAAAGAAACAATCATGCAGGAAAAAATAAAATATTCAAAGCTACATTGATTGGTTTTTGACATAAAGCAGTAAAACCTATCTAAAAGAATCTTTGATTAATAGGCATTGTATTTTTCTCTAACTGAATATATTCAACATTTGATCTTTATTTGTTTCACTAGTCTAGTCTACAGACCATAGTTCATAAAGATAATTATACAGCTTGGTTTAGCACTCAGAGTACTGCAATAGTTAAAGAACTATAAAAACACATGGTATAATTGTGATAATAGTTTAATATTAAAACCATGTAAGGAATTAAATTTAAGTCACTGACACTATGAGGTTGTTGTATTGAACTCAACTCCATGCATAACTATTTCTTTGTGTACTTGACAGAACTTCTCAATTACTTTCTAAGATACTGTCTAGCATTAATTCAAATCCTTTTGCAATAACACAGGATTTGCAAAACAATCCATTTACAGATTTTTTTGATTTTTTCTTTATTCATTCTAGGATGTCATTTTTGATTTCCTGTATTGGGCTACGGGTAAAAGGGCAAAAATGAATGCACTAAATGAACAAGCATACTGAGCATTGCTAAAGCAATACATGTCCCCTACCAGCCCCCGCTAGCTATAACACTAATAATTTATAAAAATGGTGCCCTTTTGTGTTAATTTGGGAAAATGAAAAGTATACAATTAGCTTGTAACTGAGTTTAATGTTATAATAATACAAGAAATTGTAATGTTAGTATTATGACAGAGGAATTATATAAAATAAAATGATTGACAACCCTGAAAACTTGTCCGAGATATTATCGTCCTTTGTAATTGTGTGAAGTTTAATCAAAATCCCTCAAGGAATCAAGCCGCTAGAGCGCTGACAATGAATTTTCTAAAAATAGCAACGGTGACCTTGACCAAACTAACCTGAAACTTGAACTTATCCAAGATATTATGGTCCTTTGTAATTGTGCGAAGTTTAATCAAAATCCCTCAAGAAATAAAGCTGCTAGAGCGCTGACAAGGATTTTCTAAAAATAATAATGGTGACCTTGACCCAACAACCTTGAAACTTGAACTTGTCGGAGATATTATGGTCCTTTGTAATTTTGAGAAGTTTGATCAAAATCCCTCAAGGAATGAAGCCGCTAGAGTGCTGAAAAGGATTTTCTAAAAATAGTGACCCTGACCCAACAACTCTGAAACTCAAACTTGTCCGAGATATTATGGTCCTTTGTATTTGAGTGAAGTTTGATCAAAATCCCTGAAGGAATGAAGCCGCTAGAGCGCTGAAAAGGATTTTCTAAAAATAGTAACAGTGACGCTAGAGCACAGACAAACATTGGTGTGGTGTAACGTACGTACACAGATGGACGGAGAAGAAACCTATAGTCCCACCCCCGGTTTCACCAGTAAGGTAGGGGACTAATAATCATGCCTCCTTATTAACACAGTTACTATATCATGCAGTACAAATACATTTATGGCAGACTTTTGTTTCACAAAATACATTGACACGCATGCATAGATTATCTTATAAATGTTATTTAACTTTCTGTGCTCAAAACTACAGGAATAACATAAAAATTATAAGTTTACAACAACTACCACTATTTCTTTCATCACTTTTGGACTTTTCCCCATTCATGGGAAAGGATTTACAAGTAAAGTGTAAAACATGCAGATGTATTGTTTTCCAGTTTAGTGGGAAAGAAATAATCTGATACTTTAGACAACACATTTCTCTGTAAGTTGTATCTACAGATAAAAATATTTTTTGTAAGAAATCTATTATGATTCAACAGCATTTCAGACAAACACTTCACCCTATATTTTCACTAAATGTTCTCTATCCATACTTGCCTCCCTGAAAGACTGCAGCAGGTTGGAACCTGACACGGACACTATGATATCTATTTGGTGGATGATGAATAAGGGTTCGTCCTGAGTTTGGTATGGGAAAAAGGACAAGTTGTCTGATATATACACCTGCTCTGCTAATGTAATTTTCTGTAAAAAAAAACACCACAATATATCATACAAAAGTTTAAAAACACGAAAAAGTGTTTTTTGACATTTTGTGTAAAAATATACCTTCATCTGTGTATTAGAAAGTCTTGTCAATTGAATTATTTCATAACTAAATACAATGTATACTTTAATTTTGCAATAGTTTGATCAGAAAGGCAACACAAATTAATAAACAGAAATTTAAGTCTTTATATACACAGTGATGGAAATGTAGAAATGCTCTTTTTCTTATCAATGTCATTTTAATTCACACACCAGGTTCTACACATTGAAATTAGGATAACCTACCGCAGAGTCGTCAAACAAGTTAAGAAGAGTTGTTAGAATAGCCCTACGATGGGGGCGGTTGCTTCGCAGCACTGTATACAAGTATGCGTTCAGACTCTGCACATTATCATCTGGAGATCTCATTCCTCTAATTGGTTTTGAATGGTCATTCTGAAGGATTTGTTGAAGGCGGTAGGATAACTTCAGTCCATGTAATGATTTCATCTGAAAACAATTTTAAATGTTGTACTAAATTTATTACTAACCTGTAGAAACTTAAACAGCTCATTTCTACCCAATATCTTTCTGATTAAACTGGTTTGAAGTAAGGTTTTTTATTTCTCCAATGACATTTTGGATAATAAAGTCACAATTTGAAGCCATTTAATAGAATTACCCTTCCTCACATAATCAACAATGATGGCTTCACCACAAAATATAACATTTTCTTAAATATCAAAATATTTCAATTCCTGCCTTCAAAATTTTTCCAATCACTTTTTGTACATGTCAGACGGCCTTCCTCATCACTGACACACATAAACAGATTCATCTTGTTTGTACCTACATGTATGAAACCAGGGTATTTCTTTTCTATTTCCTGTAGCTGCTGATCAGCTTTCACCCTGATTGACTGCTCAGAATCGGTTCCGAAGCTGATCAAATATGGCACACACTGAAACAACCACAAGCAATTGTATATCAAGAAAGTCTATATTTCTTATCTGCAAGACAAAGAGAGGTTCCCCTTGGACATGCATCTTTTGACCACTCAAAGCATAGGGTATGGTATTTGTAATGATATGAAAATTTAGGAGACTATTATTGAAGGAGACCATCAACATTTTTTTTTTATAATTTATCACAAATAAGAGATTTTTCAAGAGACCATCCACAACCATCACCCTTCTCCCCCCAAAATACCTCAAAGAGTGTTCCTACTGACCTGAACAGGGTGCACCAGCCCCTGCCGGAGGACAAGGTTTATCACACTGAGAGCTGCCATTCTGACTTGGGACTGTTGGTTGAAGAAGGACTCCAGCACTTGTTTCAGGTAAACTTGCATCACTGTACTGGCCATCCTGTACAAGTAAAAACGTTCAAACTATCATCAGTAAAATTTAATAAATATATTCCACTTTATTTGGTTTCATAATCTCTGTCTCCTAATCAATATTGATGAACTACTTCCTTTTGTGTGTGCTGCATACTGTAATTATCTTCCTTAGCCACTTCAAATATTTTAATTTCAAATTCATTTTTTTTTTATCTATTTCAATAACAGCTATGTCTCTGCATGATCAATTTAAGTTATTTCATTCCATTTCAAATCCTGTGAACCCTGTTATTTTCCTTCCTTGATATAAATCCTGTGAACCCTGTTATGTTTCCTTCCTTGATATAGAACTTAAGTCACCACAGATTACCACTGGCAACAGGCAAATTGTCATAATACTGAAATTCTAGTTGACAAAACTTGGACAGTACGTGGCTTTACTGTATATGAAACATAACCAGTAACTATAGAATTTTTCATGATCAGAAACTCTGAAATCATTAAAAAGTGACAGAAATCTTTCATTCATAGTTTCACAGACAAGATTTTCTTATGATCAAGACCTTCCATGTGAAAATTATTGTAATCAGTTCAGTATGTATGCACTTACCCCGACTGAATATCATTCATTTCCTTCAAATCTTCCTCCTTCGAATGTTTTCTCCCTGTATGAAAATTGAAACAATAGCCATGAAGTGAGACGAACATTGATATTAAGATTGTTTCTGTTTTAGATTTAAAGGTACAAAAGGCTCAATTGTATAGACAAATCATTATTTCAAACAAATTTTTATCTAATTTACATTAGTTTGATCTTTAAATTTTTTAACTTACATTCTGCATCTGCCTTTTGCATACGGACCTCTTCTTCTTGGAGATAATACTGAAGGTTTTTCAACACCTGTAAAATCAAAACAAAATGTTCATGTTGCTGATATCAATACTTGCTGCGAAAATACTATTTATTTAAAGCCTACCTCATGGTAACAATTTTTTCAATGCTAAATGATAATTTTTTACCAGTGTTTTGTTCCTTGAAAGCTGTCAAAGGTATGATGAGGTAAATCCTAATACTATATTTTTTGTTTAAATATGCCTCCTCCCTTCCTTGTCCCATATATCTTTATATGGTAATATGATCAGAAACATATACCCGCAAAAAAAACAACATTACCTGAACTTTTAACCGAACTAGGGTGTGTTCGTTTGATAAAAATTCAACATACAGCTCCTTTGCCTTCACTCCAAGCATGTATTCATAATGACGCACAAAAAGAAACCCTGAAAAAGTAAACAGAATTTAACATTACAATGCACAAACAGCTTGTTGATATATTTACTACAACATACACACCCTATAAAACTTAACTGCAAGAAGACAAATAGCTGATGTAGCTATCGTGAAAAACTAACAGAAACACTGACAAATTAACATTACTCTCTTCATTGTTTTGGATTCTTGACCATTTTTTCAAAATATAAATCATTGTGTGTGGAATTTCTGACCTCATGCCTTATTTATTCTATGTTACAATAGCTATATATATTTTTCAATAATAAAATCAAACACATGAATAAAGCATCCTATCACCTTGATAAAACTGGAGTGATATTAAAAAATGTCCTTTGTTATATACACAAAGGTACCAAGCTCAGGTTATACTTCGCTCTTATGGGGTTTTTACATGACAGAAATAAAATAAAGTCTATGATTTACCTAAACCGGTCAAAGCTTTGGTGCGGACTTCCTCGTCTTCATGGAAGACAAAGTAGTGCAAAACATCATAGACTTTGTCTTTCACTGATGTCTGTAAAATCAGAAACAACATTGTAAGACACAGACTAAATCCTGTATGAAAACAAAAATGTCTTAGGGAATAATGAAGGTCCTCTGATAGATTATGAATATTTTTATCAGATAAACCATCCATCTGCTTTATCTCTGTCTGGAACCCAAGAAATCTCTGAATTACAGTAGAGGTTGAGGAAGGAAAGCTTCAAATCATCAACATTCTTTAAAGAGAAGAAAATCAGTAAAACAGACAGATTTTGCTCCCCTAAAACATAACTGAGACGAGAATAAAGTGTGTCGATGCAGACATGCATATTGCTAACTGGATGTTATGTGTTACATATCTTAGACCCCAGTTTTATATTGTCTGATACAACTCTTATTTCTGAAATCACTTAATTGAACTCAAAGTCAAACAAACCACTTTTTTATTCTACATTTACTAACCTTTGTTGATATACAAGACTTTGAAAACAATTTAACCTTTGACCTTGGGTGAATGGACCCAACATTGGCATATGACATGCTGCCTTGCCATCCTACATATATCCTTAAGCTGAATTAATTAACTTGTGTGAGTCAGAAGTTTTGGTCCGAACAATGAACTTAACTTTTGACCTTGGACATACAGATCCAAATGTGGCACACGAAACGCTGCTTTACTCTCCTGCATATAATCCTAAAATTTCATGGTGTTACCTCTATATGCTCCCGAAATTTTATTGGGGGACAGCATAAAAATCTTCTCTCATGATTTACCTTGGTTTCACCCATCTCACTGGAATCAAAATCGAAGTGTTTGCACAAAAGCCCGACTGTGAACAGGGACCTGAGTAGTGTCGGTTTTCTAATTTTCAACGTGGCGTTTTCTGGGTCTTCTCTGTGGTCTGCCATTAGACGTGACAACACACCTATAGGAACAACATTTATTGATCATCAACCCATTTGTATATTCAGTATTCAGTATTCTACAAATATTTCATGACTCTTGGCAATCATTAAAAGATATGATCACATCTTTCTATTGTTTGTCTATAAAGCATGTTCACCTACAGTAGATATCAATATATTCATTGGAAATTTGGTACAATTGTTAATGAAAGACACTGATCAATTATAGACCAACAAAATGACATAATGTGAACTTACCAAAGAACTTCTGGAAGCAGTCTTTGACTAAGGCATAGTTGTGGCTAACATTATTTACAACAGCACCTAAACACCGAACACAACTCTGGAGCACCTGCAATATGAAGTCAATCCTATAATCTTTTCTGGTATTACTAGTGAGAATTCAATGACAAGACAATTCAAAATCTTGCTTTTCTCTTTACACCAAGCAAACAGTCTTTCAAATGAGAATGATCGATGAGTTAAATGAAGGAACTAATGTTGAATTTCTAAATAAACGTGTTGTAGTACAAAGGACTCTGTCAGAAACAAAAGAACTTGGAGAAATATTAATCGCCACGGTGTTCAATTACATTTTTATGAAGTCAACTTAAATGAAGAATAGTTGTACTTGGTATTACAGAGACTACAAATCACTCCAATGAAGAGGTGGATTTCCATCTTGTCACTTGTAATAGATACATAGCTTACCATCATGCCATGTTTCAATATTAACTTGATCATGTCCTCCTCCAACTGGGCAAGAAATGATTCACTTGGGTGGTCCATCAATGGCACAACCACCTCAAGGATCCTGGCCACATAGTGCAGTACATAGAAGTCACCCTGTGTCTGTAACCAATATGAGTTAGAATTACATACAGCTAGAAATTTCATCAACTGAACGATATACAATTATTATAATGGTCTGGTATTTATTCGTATTTTAATTTCCAGTGGATATTATAACGTCATTATTCCTCAGCTGTAAGTGCTGATATGACAATGTAGAGGACTGCTGTTTGATGAAATATGCGGACCTCATAAAGACGTATGCATTCAAATGATTACAACAACTCACGCTGCACTTGATGTCCAGGTATGGCTGTAGTGTTGTGGCATGTTTGATCATCAGGTCTGGTTTGATCTTGCTGAACAGAAACAGAGTGGATAGACATGCCACTAGTCGCTGACTGCATCCCTTCACTGTGTCAACATCTGAAAGTATTGCCACATTCTTGTAATCTCAAGCAAGGAATCAAATTCTTTTTCTAGCGATGTATGTTGTTTTGTTTGTTTCCTAAGATGACATTACAATGAGAACTGTTTGATAGGGTTTGTTTAGGAAACTAACGTTAAGAATCAAATTGAACAACATTTCTTTAAACTCATTTAAAGAACACAATGTATTCAGAATCATAAGAATGAAACAAATTGGAAAGTAATAAACTGCCAAAAATGTTGATGAGGTCTATTAAGACTCTCCACATTAAACATGTCTGGTTCCGATAAAAAATACTGCGCACACATCATTCAGAATGGTAACAACTGCATAAGAAGACCATACCGACGCTGCGTTCTTCAAGTGAGAGGACATTTTCCACCAGACAGTCTACAATCTGTCGACATGACGTCACAGCACTTTTGTTGTAGTTGCCATCCTCATCCTTCTTCAACAGCTGAAACCAAATTCAGAACATTAATCTTTAAGTTTCCTTAATAATTATCAAGGCAAGAGATTTTTTTGATTTTTTTGAATGTCTGCTTTTTCTTGATAAAATGTATTCTTTCATGGTTGAAATTCTCAATCATTCTTTATACATAAAAAATTCTCAAAAATGACCAAATAATTTTATTTTTAAAATTGAAATGGTATGAAATTATTCCAGGTTAGTCAATATATTGAAGGGAGATTTTAACAACCTTGCCATTTTTCAATCTCTGAACTTACATTTTCTAACAACTGCTCAAAGAATTCAAAACCAGTGTCTTTGCATGCAGCAACCTGTAACAAAGGAATACATTGATATAGCAATGAACGTCTGTTATTGAATGTTAGTAATATCATTTAGCAGTTAACAATACTGATATTTTCCCAATATGCTAAAATACAGTAAGCTCTAATAACTAAGTCTATCACTCCATAAATATCACCATCATGATACAACTACCCTAATTATGAAGTGAAAGTGGTGATAATTTCTGGTATACAGTAATCATTTTGATCTACAATATTGTCAGCCATATCTATCAACTGATTTGAAAATAATGAATTCTCCTTTACAACAAATCAACCACCTTTCTTGATTTTGTTTGTTTCATATTTGACATCTTTGCAACAGTTGAGGTCATATGGAGATGGGTGCCTAGGGAGACATTGCTAAAATGTAAGAGTACAGAAGTGAGGAATACATAGATCTGTAGTAATGCACTGGTGGCAGCAGATCAAATTATGTTTCTACATATCCAATGTGTAAAATGTTGGGGAGTCCTACTTCCTCAAAAATGAGTAAATGAGTAAAACTTGGATTGCTACTTACCACATCGGTGATATTCACCACTCGTTGGAGCAATTTTGAGGTATCTTTGTCTCGGGTGCTGAGTGGAGTGAACCACATCGTCTGAAACACGTCGTTGACGAGTTTCTGGAAGAGAAGCGACAAAACTATAGCACAAATACGTAAAATAAACCAGTAAAATTTGCCAAAAAAACGTGTTGCCACATCACTATATTCAAAGAATGTTGTTAATATGTTCTTATAGAGTTTTTGGACAAATTACCACCAAATTTATTCAAAATTACAACATTTATCATGAATTGTCACATGCACAAATATTAAGAGAAACATATACAAGTTAAGCTGGACAAACTCTAAGCTAAAATTTCAGGTAAATTGAATCCACGAAAATGATATTGTACCTTGATGCCTTCCTCGTCATTCACCCGCCTAATCATCTTTACACACATTTCCGGAATTTTTTGGAAGTCACCTTGTTCTATACAGATATCTCTGAATATCTTTATCACCCGTTTGCGTACACTGATTCCTGTGTCCTGAAAGTGGAAGTCAACATTTTACAGAATACTCCAAACACATAAATAAAGGCTGAATATCCCCCCCCCCCCTCATAATTTCTTTTATTTTGATTTTTTTGGAATGGTCCCAGAATCTAATAATATACTGTAAATCACTTGATTAACTTATTGTGATTTACCATAATCCTCTTAATAATAAGAAAGCAATTAGATATTGTAAAATGAACAAAATTGCACAATCAAATCTCTTTCATGAAAAAATATTCCTGAAAAGTCCCTTATAATCATAAACTTGTAATGAAACGATGACAATACTTACCAGGATTCTATCTGTTAACATATCATAATATTTGGGAATGAGATCTGGACGGATAAGGATGAACCTCCCTACTAATTCCACTGCTGCCTCTCGAACCATCGTAGACTGATCCAGGAACCGACCATGGACACCTTTCTGCATGTCCGTCTGTAGAAAGCAAGGAACTTGTTAAAGATTATAGGACCCAATGAATTCATTATACCATATACTACAATTATCGGACTGGATGTCCATGTGTCATTTTGTTCTAGTATATCAAACACTATACTGTATAACAGCTAGTTTTCATCCCGTCAAATGTTTACTCGTCACGAGTCTATAACAGCCCAGTGTTAATTGCACTCTTCACAGTGGAATCATTTTATATCCTGGTATACCTATAATTCATCCACCAGGTCGGATCAGAACCCAATCAACCCATCCAACCATAACTAAACAGCGGCAATTTTGGAACTTTTGTACACTAACATCCTACAAACAAACTCTATTCACGATATGAAAATGATGCTGCCAAATAGTTTCACTGATTTATGAAGTTATGTCCTAAGATTATATTGATACATTGTTTTAACACATTTTATGACTTACCCTGGCAAGAATACCTGGATCTGATTCCACCACAGCTGTCAGACATTTCATTGCCTTTGTCCGCACAGCCACGGCTGTTTCACTAAGTACCCGCAAAATCTGCGAAAAAAGTAACATTTTATGAAAGAAGATGTAGGGAAATAATGAACAAAATCTGGAGAAAAAAATCTGGATTCAAACATCAAAGTATTATTTGGGCTTGGGCATGAAACAACCCTGTTGCTTTGGTGTTTAATGCTACTAATATAAGCAAATTGCTTTTAAAACTCTAGATTTGAATTATAAAATCCTGTCAAAGATATACAAAAATAATGCAACTGCATTAGGCTGAAAATAATCCTACTTACCTGTGTCAAATAAATATCAAAACTTTGTGCAAATGGGCGTTTTGAGGATAGGTATCTCGCTATCAAACATGCACTGTCATGCTCTAAGTTGCTTGGATGTGGTCTGGAATAGAACATATACAGGTATTTATTAGAATGTATCATCAGATTACACATGCTCAATATTTCATTTTGTCCCTGGATAAAAGATGAAGTTTTTTTTAGCAATAGATTGTGAAAGACTTACTCATATCAATATATTATTTTCTCTTGTCATCTATCAATTTTTTCAATTTTGTCACCCCTGTCCTCCAACTATTGCTAGATTTTCCTTTGCACAGTATCAACTGACATGGTATGAAACTAAAGCAAACTTTTTCTGTTTCCATTCCCCCCCCCCCCCGCCAAGTCATTCAAAAGTCTGATTGATGTTGGTTTTGAATCAAACACTTAATACTTTTCCCCTTGTCTTAAACAAAAGTTACATCCATTTCGAACCTCTTAAATGCTTTCTCAGATATTCCAAGCAAAGAAAACCTATTGAAAGATGTTGTTTTAGAACTACTGCAAAGTGTTAACTTCTGTAAAGTACATAGATACTGGATCTTTTTGAGCCTGTAGCTCCTGGCTTATTAATGATCCCACTTAAACCATGTCCATCTTCTGGACATGTAAGCAGCATGTTCCCAATAAAATATTGTGTGTCTTCCCTTTATCTGACCAGAGTAGTGCTGTAATAAAACCCACCTTCCTGATTTGTGTGACTCCAGTGTGAGCTCCACTTGTTTCATGAGGAAGTTTTTACGCCGCTCTGTGTTCTGGAGCTCTTCTGTTGTCAGCTCTGCTTCAGTCTCATCAAATTCATCATGAGCAGCCTCAGACTTTTCAGCTTCCATAGTGGCATCTCTGTACCACTGAGCTATGTAAAACTGACAAGCAAACTGAAAACAAACCACAGTTTATATTAACATTAAGATCAAATAACTCTTCCAGTCACTGATTTGAAAATTCTAAAGTTCTGTGAAATATCACAATCAAGGAAAATACTTTTAAGAAAACATTTTAAAATAAGGTTTACGTTACTAGACAGAAGATGATAGATGTTGTGGTAAATTCACATACCATTCACATGAAAAAATACCCTGCAATGAAAAATAGCTCAGTGAGCAGTACAGTTATATTTAATTTCTAAATTCTTTCAATATTATATTTCAGTGTTCAAGGTCTTCCACCAAATACACATTCTTAAGGTTTGAAAACCACAACCCAGGTTATTTTGTTTTGGTTTATAAGTGAAGAGCTACAGTGATTCTTTTGATGTTATAAGAATGAAGCTTCAGAAATTTTGTATTTTTGACATAAAGCAGTATAAAGCAGTAACACTGTTGATTCCAATACTGTTCATGTCTTACCCAGTATGCTGGCTCACTCTCACTGTTGTAAGTGAGGTATTCCAACATAGCCTTTTGTAAACTCTGAGCCTGGTCTTCAGCTGATTCACCCTGACCTTCCGGCTAAAAAACATTTTGCAAAACATTGGAATCATTACTTAGAAATTCTTTCTTGTATTAAAAACAAGTATGCGCCGAAGAAATACTCATACATTTTGTAGACTGAAGTGTAATAAACAAGTGGTCTTATGAGTTGGTTCAATTTGATGTGAACTGACATAGCCCAATTTTGAAATAGGAATAATGACATTCTGTCATGGCTTCTAATATCGAATTGTTTCTCAAAACTTAAAACACATTATAGGCCTGTGGCTTAACTGTTCAACATTTTGTGAAAATTCATGACTTTGACATCAAGCCACAAGACAATAAAAAATTAAAGCTTTTAATTTTCAAACAACAAAGAAAACTCTTCTGTGCAAATTGATAAAAAAACTCACCACAGGTGAATTTTTCCCTCCCCGTGAGGATCGCCGTGGTGCTTCATCATCACTATCCACTTCATTTACCTGTAAACAACAAACAACAGCTATGTTTACTAACACAGTGACTACCAAATCAGTATCATGACCTAAATGACTTTTGCACTTTAAAACTGGTAAATGGATTTACCTGGTAGTAATAAAATTCACAAATTGTCAAAGCACATTGGGACCTTTCATCTATGAAGAAGAATCAAGTAAATGTTAAAATTTTAGCCAATTTGACTCCTTTTCAACC